TGGAGATATGGAGACAATTTGGGTAGGCAATGGAGCAAGATGGTGAATTTTTTGGCCTACGGCCTTTCAAAATTTTAAAATTTTTCGTCTGCGGCGCTTAAAATAAAATTTTACTTGAAAAATATTCAATTTTATTTAAAAAAAAGCGTCGCCAAAAATTTGGCTTCGAAAATGATTGACCCCCCCCCTTCCCCGAAAATTTTCCTTGCTACGGGCCTGGCTTATGGGACACAATTGTTGTAAATAAACCAATAACTAAATCATTTATAAGTCATAGTCGACTAATAACGTATTTGAGGTCGAATAATTTCGAAATAAATGCAGTTTTGAAAATTTTTTGAATATTAAAATGTTTCGTTTTGTTTCGTTTCGTTTCGTAAGATTTTGGTTGTTTCGTTTCGTTTCGTTAACGAAACGATTTTTAAAAAATTTTGTTTCGTTTCGTTTCGTCAGAAAAAAATTTTGAGTTTCGCCCAGGTCTGGTGGGGATGTGATATATTAAAACCGATTAGCTTAATAAATATTTTTAGTCTCACATTTCTAAATCATCAATTTCTGTTAACAAAATGATATTTTCTGGTCTTCTTGAAGCTGGTTTATTGCACATTTCATCTATTCAAATAAATAATATTCTTGGGAAATTATCCAAAATTGATTTTTCTGTAACAAATAAAAATATTTACAAATATTTGGTTGGTCTTGCAGGTTTGATTGGGAATATATTTATTTTTTAGAACTATTTTTAAGAAAGTTTATCTGATTCCCCAATGTCTTCGAGTCTGAATATCTCTAGCATTATTGTTGATGAACCAGCAGAAACTATCAGTTTATTTTTAATAATTTTTTAAAAAAATAATAAATCTTTTAAGAAAAACACTTAATTACATTACTTTCAATGAATATTGAGAATTTGGAGTTTCTTTGCTCTAATAATGGAAATATGTTTGACTGTGACACAAAAACTTTTGAACTTGTTTTACTCGAAAGGTAATTAACGTATGATTGTGTTATTAGATTATCCAATATAACGAGGTTTCTGGCTTAAAAACGTTGCAACTGAAAAGTTTTTTAAGCTATTACAATATATTATGAAAATGTTTGTAAAAATATTGATATTTTTTATAAATACTTTAATCAAAATTTTATTTATAGACCATCAATTTCTATGAATCGCACAAAGAAAATTACAACCAAATGTACTATTGAACTTAACTCTACAACCAATTTTCTCAACAATTTAATGAATTATATTCAGTTTTTACTTCTTTGCTGTCCAAATCTAGAATCTATTTATTTTGATCTTACTTATAATTCGAACTTGAAAACCGATTTTTTTAGCTACTCAGGCTCTTATGAATCGACTTCTGATGACTCTGTTTCTTTACTTTCACCTGAAGAGTTTGGTACAAATCTTGAGTTATTTTTTATTACAATTATTGATTATCTCAAAAATCTAGAAAAGGGTGGTAAAGATTTGAAAATTAAAATAGAATTTTATTCTTCATTTGATGACTATATTTTTGATGTTAGTTTTAAATATTTTTTAAAATAATTTGTTTTTGTTTTTAGCTTATTCCTAAAAATAATAAACTTTTCTCTTTGGGAAAACATATGGAAATCGAAAATCCACCAGACGGCATTTATTATGTGGCGCCTACAGCATTTATTAGACGTAACATTGAAGTTGTTGATTCTGTTGGAAGACAACATGAATGTCTGGTTAAAATTGAAGGATATGAGGAGAAGTGTAAGTTTTTTTATTTCCTTTTTTGTTACTCGTCAATACTTTTATTAAACTTTTTGGGGATATCATTTGTTAAAACGAGTCAATTAATTTTTTAGAAAAATTGGAAAAGATTGTTTTAAGATAAGAATCTAATTTTCGAAAAATCTATCTTTTTTAAATCCTTTGATTTTATTTTACTGTCTTTTAGATGTTTGGGATGATTATGATAATGGATATAATACAGGAAATATTTTTGACGAACGTGCATATTATATTGACGCATATTCTCTGGATCCACATGATTTTTATTAGTGTTGAGTATTTATTCAAGATTTTTTTATTTAATTTATTGAGATGATTCTTTGCTTTGTTTAAATTATTTTTGAATCGATAAAGGCTTTACTATATTTAAATATTTCATTCTTACAAATTGTTTTATATTCAAATAATCTCGATTTATATTCTTTTATATCCACTTATTTCTTTAGAAAATTTTAACAGATGGTGCAAATACCACGTTTATCCGATGATGTTCTCTATATTATTTCTGAAAAATTACTTTTTAAAAATCGTTATGGGGATATTGATCTGCGAAGTAAAATTGCAAATCCTTATGCTCTTTTTATGGTTTTTAATTTTTTAAATAATATTCTAATTTAAAATTTTAGTTTCACAGTGTAAGAAATATGAGAGCTTTGCTTTTTCAATTTTCTAAAATGAAGCATCTTGATCTTTCAACTTGTGACAATGATTGTTTTATTAAATTTTACAAAGTCGTAATACCTGACTGTATTGTGAGTGTGTTGTTTTTATTTTCCTTTCTGGTCGAATGCAATTTCAAAATTTAATTGAATTATTGCCAGCTCTATAATAACCTTCTTGGTCCAGTCCTAGATCTTTGCAATCATTTTGATTAACATTTTTTGACTATCTATTAATTGGCATATGTTCATATACCCCCTTCCCACTCTCACTCTCTCATTTTGGACTCAATCAGAATTAATAGTTCATTATCAATTACATGGAAATCATTATATCTTGGATACTTTTTTAATATCCCCCCCCCCCACCCCTATTTGAGTCTCTGATTAATTTCCCTTTATTTTTCCTAACTCGGAATGGTCAAATTTCCAATTTTATAAATGTTAAATTTTGCCACTTGGCCCATTTTTTCGGTTGCCGTCTATATTTTACTTCCTAATACTTGCCTTTTACAGTAAAATTTGAAGTAAAAAATTATTGACAGTAAAGAAAAGTAAATTAATCTGATGTGAGCTCAAATAGGGTTGGGGGCCGGGATATTAATAAAGTACCGATAAGTTTAATAAATATTTTTAGTCTCACATTCTTGAATCATCAATTTCTGTTAACAAAATGATATTTTCTGGTCTTCTTGAAGCTGGTTTATTGCGCATTTCATCTATTCAAATAAATAAAATTCTTGTGAAATTACCCAAAATTGATTTTTCTGCTACAAATAAAAATATCTACAAATATTTGGTTAATCTTGAAGGTTTGATTGAGAATATAATAGTTAAGTTGAGTTACCCCATTTTTCCTTCCGGCTGAAGTGCAGCATACCGGAGGTGAAAGTTCGGGCTGAGTCGATGGTACCACTCCCAGTTTCAGGAAATGATTCTTGACCGAGTTATAGGTCTCGAAATATTGAAAAACCATATGGGTATTAAGGTCGATTTTGTATAATATAACTCGGTCCTGAATCATTTCCTGAAATTGGGAGTGATACTATCGACTCATATGTCACGTCCCGAACTTTTCCCTCCGGTACATTACATTCAGACGAAAGAAAAAAGGGGTAGCACAAACTTAACTATTACCTTTATTTTTTTAATTATTTTTAAGAAGATTTATCTGATCCTTCATCAACATCTTCGGGTTCAAGTATCTCCAGCATTTATATTATCGAATCAGCAGAAACTATCAGTTTATTTTTATAAAATTTTAAAAATAATAGATATTTTAAGAACAACATTTAATTACATTACTTTCAATGAATATTGAGAATTTGGAGATTTGTTGTGCTAATAATGGAAATATATTTGAATGTGACGCAAAAACTTTTGTACGTGTTTTACTCGAAAGGTAATTTACGTATGATTGTGTTATTAGAATATAACGAGGTTTCTCGCTTAAAAACGTTGCAACTGAAAAGTTTTCTAACTAAGCTATTATTTTATGAAAATGTTTGTAAAAAATTTCATATTGACATAGGTATTCTTAATTTTTCTTTCTTTTTATAAAAAACTTTAATCAAATTGTTTTAATCAATTTCTCAACTTTTAGTTATAGACCTTCAATTTCTATGAATCGCACAAAGAAAATTACAACCAAATGTTCTATTGAACTCAACTCTACAACCAATTTTCTCAACAATTTAATGAATTATATTCAGTTTTTACTTCTTTGCTGTCCAAATTTAGAATCTATTGAATTTCTTTTTAATTCGAAGTTGAAAACCAATCTTTATAGCTACTCAGGCTCTTACGAATCGATTTCTTATGGCTTTGTTCCTTTAATTTCACCTGAAGAATATGTTACAAATCTTGAATTATTTTTTACTGCAATTATTGATTTTCTCAAAAATCTAGAAAAGGGTGGTAAAGATTTGAAAATTAAAATAGAATTTTATTCAACATTTGCTGCTGATACTTTTGATGTTAGTTTTAAATATTTTTTAAAATATATTTTTTGTTTTTAGCTTATTCCTACTGATAATAAACTTTTTTCTTTGGGAAAACGTATCGAAATCAAAAATATTCATCCGACACGAGGCATTCATTCTTGCGCGACTCCACAATTTATTGGACGTAACATTGAAGTTGTTGATTCTATTGGAAGACAACATGAATGTTTGGTTAAAATACTTTCTGAAAAACAGGAGGAGGATTGTAAGTTTTTTTTCCTTTTTTTGTTACCCGTGGTCAATACTTTTATAAAATTTTTTGGGGATATCAGTCGTTAAAACGAGTCAATTAATCTTTAAATTACGGTCAAAATCGTTTTAAGATACGAACCTAATTTTCGAAAAATTTTCTGTCTTTTAAATCGTTTGATTTTATTTTACTGTCTTTTAGATTATATTAATGATGATTATGATAATTATTTCAATGGAGGATATGGTTTTAACGAATATGCATATATTCGTCCACATGATTTTTATCAGTGTTGAGTATTTATTCAAGATTTTTTCATTTAATTTATTGGGATGATCTTTTACTTTGTTTAAATTATTTTTAAACCGATAAAGGCTTTACTATATTTAAATATTTTATTCTTACAAATTGTTTTATATTCAAATAATCTCGATTTGTATTCTTTTATATCCGCTTCTTTTTTTTTAATTTTAACAGATGGCTCAAATACCACGTTTATCTGATGATGTTCTCTATATTATTTCTGAAAAATTACTTTTTAAAAAATTTTGTCGTCAAGTTGATTTGTGCGATACAAATGGCTATACTCTTTTTATGGTTTTTAATTTTTTGAAATAATATTTTTATTCAAAATTTTAGTTTCACAGTGTGAAAAATATGAGAGCTTTGCTTTCTCATTTTTCTAAAATGAAGCATCTAGATCTTTCTGCTTCTGACAATGATTTTGTTATTAAACTTTACAAAGAAGAAATTCCAGTACCAAAACATATGGTGAATGTTGTTTATTTAAAAAATTATTTTTTCTTTCCCTTCCTGATAAATTGAGGTTCGAAATTTTAAAGGTTCCATTTGTCCGTTATGTCACGGCACGACCCTTGTTTAAATACATGGTCGACATGTATTTGAACAATATTTATAGCCAACTCTGTGAAAATATAAATGGTCCAGTCCTAATTCCCTGTTAATTTCCACTTGATTAGGAGTCCCAAATTTAAGATTTCCTTTCTTATCAGTCACAAGGGAATTCCTTAATTCCTTTTCTCCTTTTATAAAAAAAGGAAAGATAAATTTTGAGATTCAAACCAAATCATTTAATAAACATTTTAGTCCAACTATCCTTCATCTCCATATTTTGTTAACAAAAAGATATTTTCTGATCTCCTTGAAGCTGGTTTATTGCGCATTTCACATATTAAAATAACGAATATACTCGGGCAATTATCTAAAGTTGATTTTTCTGCAACAAATAAAAATATTTACAAATATTTGGTTAATCTTGAAGGTTTAATTGTTAATATATTTATTTTTAAAAATTATTTTTAAGAAGGTTTATCTGATTTGGGCTCATCAGTATCTCCAAGTTTGAATATCTTTAATATTATTATTAATGAATCAGCAGAAACTATGAGTTAATTTTTTATATAATTTTAAAAAATGAGAAGAATTTTTCAGGAAAACATTTCATTACATTACTTTCAATGAATATTGAGGATTTGGATTTTTTCGGCTCTGATTATAGATGTATATTCGATTCTGACCCAAAAACTTTTGAACTTGTTTTACTTGAAAGGTAATTTACTTACGATAGTTCTATTAGGCAATTTAGAATCTAATTTTTTACCAATTTTTTAAATTCTATTCTAGACCTTCAGTTCCTATGGAACGAACAAAGAACATTAAAATTAAATGCAGTATTGAAATTGACTCAAAATCCACAACCAGATTGCTCAAGAATTTAAAGAATTATATACAATTTCTACTTCTTTGCTGCCCAAATTTAGAATCTATTTATTTTGATCTTGCTTTTGATTTGGACTTGAAAACCGATTTTTTTAGCGACTCAGACTCTTACGAATCGATTTCTGATGACGATGTTTATGAAATTTCACCTGAAGAATATGTTACTTGTCTTAAATTATTTTTTACTTCAATTATTAATTATCTCAAAAAACTGGAAAATGGTGGTAAAAATTTGAAAATAACTCTAGAATTTTGTTCAAAGTTTGCTGCTAATCATTATGTGGTTAGTTTTAAATATTTTTTAAAATATATTTTTTCTTTTTAGCTAATTCCTAAAAATAATAAACTTTTTTCTATGGGAAAACATATGGAGATCAAAAGTTTGGTAATTGATAGAGAAAACGGTAATCATCAAGAGGAGGAGGTTCCAGCATATATTGGACGTGATATAGAAGTTGTTGATTCTATTGGAAGACAACATCAATGTTTTATTCAAATAATTTCTGAAGGACATTTGGATTATTTGGGGTGCAAGTTTTTTCTTTAATTTTCGTTAACAATTATTCAAAATTTTATTAAATTTTTCGGAGTGATCAGTCTTTAAAAGACTTCTTTAAAAGACTTAATTTTCTAGAATTACAGAAAAGATTGTTTTAAGATAAGAATCTAGTTTTTGAAAATATTCTGCTTTTTAAATTTTAATTTTGTTTTACGGCTTTTTAGACTATATTAATGATGATTATTTCAATGGAGGACATGGTCTTGACGCAAATTAATATATTGACGCATATTCTCTTGATCCATATGATTTTTATCAGTGTTGAGTATTTATTATTTATTCAAGATTTTTTTATTTAATTTATTGAGATGATTTTTTACTTTGTTTAAATTATTTTTAAATCGATAAATGCTTTACTATATTTAAATATTTCATTCTTACAAATTGTTTTATATTCAAGTAATCTCGATTTATATTCTTTTATTTCTAATTATTTCTTTAGAGAATTTTAACGGATGGCTCAAATACCACGTTTATCGGAGGATGTTCTCTATATTATTTCTGAAAAATTACTTTTTAAAAATCTTTATTATGGGTATATTGATCTGCGAAGTAAAAATAGTTTAAATCCTTGTGCTCTTTTTATGGTTTTTAATTTTTTAAATAATACATATTTTTATTTAAAATTTTAGTATCACAGTGCAAGAAATATGAGAGCGTTTCTTTCTCATTTTTCAAAAATGAAGGAACTTGAGCTTTCAACTTGTGGCAATGAGTGTGTTATTAAATTTCACAAAGACGTTGAATATATTGTGAATCATAGTCTAATTCATTAACATCCTAAAATTTTAATAATTTTTGATTAACATTGATTAATTTAAAAAAATTTTTAGTTTACCGTTTCGTACAATGTTAGCAAAAATCTGTTTTTTGATCTTCTTGAGGCTGATTTATTGCGCATTTCACATATTAATTTAACGAATATACTCGGGAAATTATCCAAAATTGATTTTTCTGCAACAAATAAAAATATTTACAAATATTTGGTTAATCTTGAAGGTTTGATTATGAATATATTTATTTTTAAAATTATTTTTAAGAAGGTTTATCTGATTCTTCTTCATCAATATCCTCGAGTCTGAGTGTCTCCAGCATTTATATTAATGAACCAGCAGAAACTATTAGTTTATTTTTTATAAAAATTTAAAAATAATAAAGCTTTTAAGAAAAGCATTTAATTACATTACTTTCAATGAATATTGAAACTATGGAGATTCTTTGCTATGATAATGGAAATATGTTTGAATGTGACCCAAAAACTTTTGAACTTGTTTTACTCGAAAGGTAAATTACGTATGATTGTTTTATTGGAGGTAGCCTATGTTCGGCTGTATATGAAAGGAATGCGGCACTCAATTTTTTTCCCTTATTCTTAAAAATGGTTAATTTTCTTTTATTTTTCTCTCTATTTTTGATTTTTGCCTACGACTACAAATGCAAAAGGATTAATTTTCTTTTATTTTTTTATTTCGTTCGTTTGACTGACCGAGTTCGTCCGTGTTTTAACTGACCGAGTTCGTCCGGTTTGTCTGACCGATGTGTGTCCGTGTTTTAACTGACCGAGTTCGTCCGGTTTGTCTGTTCGAGTTCGTCCGTGTTTGTCTGACCGATGTGTGTCCGTGTTTTAACTGACCGAGTTCGTCCGGTTTGTCTGTTCGAGTTCGTCCGTGTTTCTGTCCGGGTTCGTCCGAGTTTTGTCAATCTGACACATTGGTCAGTTAAAACTCGGACAGACAAACTCAGACAGACAAACACGGACGAACTCGGTCAGTTAAAACACGGACGAACTCGGTCAGTTAAAACACGGACGAACTCGGTCAGTCAAACGAACGAAATAAAAAAATAAAAGAAAATTAATCCTTTTGCATTTGTAGTCGTAGGCAAAAATCAAAAATAGAGAGAAAAATAAAAGAAAATTAACCATTTTTAAGAATAAGGGAAAAAAATTGAGTGCCGCATTCCTTTCATATACAGCCCTATGTTCTATTATCCCATTTAACGGGTTTTCTGGTCTAGAAATATTGCAACTGAAAAGTTTTTTAAGCTATTTTAAAAAACGTCTGTAAAATATTTCATATTGACATAGGTATTTTTACTTTTTCATTTTGCTTAGTGTATCAGTTTTTAAAATGTATTTTTTATGAAAATTTGAATCAAAATTTTATTTATTTATAGACCAGCAATTTCTATGGACCTTACGAAGAAAATTACAACTAAATGTACTATTGAACTTAAGTCTACAACTAATTTTGTCAATAATTTAATGAATTATATACAATTTTTACTTTTTTGCTGCCCAAATTTAGAATCTATTGATTTTGATTTTACTTTTGATTCGAAGTTGAAAACCGATTTTTTTAGCTACTCAGGCTCTTATGAATCGACTTCTGATGACTTTATTCTTTTAATTTCACCTGAAGAATATGTTACAAATCTTGAATTATTTTTTACTGCAATTATTGATTTTCTCAAAAATCTAGAAAAGGGTGGTAAAGATTTGAAAATTAAAATAGAATTTTATTCAACATTTAATACAGATACTTTTGATGTTAGTTTTAAATATTTTTTAAAATATATTTTTTGTTTTTAGCTTATTCCTACTGATAATAAACTTTTTTCTATGGGAACACATATCGAAATAATTTCGCTTGGCAATTATCTTGACGAGTCTTCAGCATATCATGCACGTGATATAGAAATTGTTGATTCTATTGGAAGACAACATAAATGTTTATTCAAAATAATTTCTTTAATGTGTACGTTTTCTTTTCTATTAATATTTTCGGAGTAGTCAGTTTCGAAAAGTAGTCAGTTGATTTTAAAGTTAAGAAAAAATCGTTTGTTGTCAGATTAGTTAGAATCTAGTTTTCGAAGACCGTCTCTACTTTCCAAATCTTTAATGTTTTTCAGCTGATAATGATGAATTTGATGATTATTTCTATGGGGGAGACGAATATTCGGCCTATTTTGATTGAATTATTTTTTACTTACGAATACTTTTGCTAGTGATGATCATTTACAAGAAAGTTACGGGCTGGTAATTATTTTTTATTTCAGGATTTTTTCATTTAATTTATTGAGATGATTCTTTGCTTTGTTTAAATTATTTTTAAATTGATAAATGCTTTACTTTTTAAATATTTTTATTCTTAAAAATTTGTTTTATATTCAAATAATCTCGATTTATATTCTTTTATATCAAATTCTTCAGAAAATTTTAACAGATGGAGCAAATACCACGTTTATCGGAGGATGTTCTCTATATTATTTCTGAAAAATTACTTTTTAAAAAATTTTGTGGTCTAGTTAATTTGCGAATTACAAATGGTTATACTCTTTTTATGGTGTTTTTAATTTTTAAATTAAAATATTTTAATTAAAATTTTAGTATCACAGTGCAAGAAATATGAGAGCGTTACTTTCTCATTTTTCTAAAATGAAGCGACTTGATCTTTCAACTATTGGCAATGAGTGTCTTATTGAATTTTACAAAGAAGAAATTCCCAATGTAATTTAATTATTTTTCCTTTCATGTTTAGAGGTACAAATTTTATAAGATCATATTCTGATTGATCAACATTAATCGCCTAAATTTCAATCATTTTTGACCAACATAGATTAATTTAATAAATATTTTTAGTTTATCTGCTCATACCTTGTTAGCAAAAACATGTTATCTGGTCTTCTTGAAGCTGGTTTATTAAACATTTCATACATTCAAATAAATAATCACCTTCGGAATTTATCCAAAATTGATTTTTCTGCAACAAATAAAAATATTTACAAATATTTGGTTAATCTTGAAGGTTTGATTATGAATATATTTATTTTTAAATTATTTTTAAGAAGGTTTATCTGATTCTTCTTCATCAATATCTTCGAGTTTGAATATCTCTAGAATTATTATTAATGAACCAGCAGAAAGCATCAGTTTATTTTTTACAAAATTTTAAAAATAATAAAGCTTTTAAGAAAAACATTTAATTACATTACTTTCAATGAATATTGAAACTATGGAGATTCTTTGCTATGATAATGGAAATATATTTGATTGTGATGCAAAAACCTTCGAACTTGTTTTACTCGAAAGGTAATTTACATAGTGTTATTAGATCTAGCATATGTATGATTATACAAATAACGGGGTTTGTGGTCTAAAATTCTTGCAGCTATTAAGTTTTTTATGCTATTATTTTTTGCAAATGTTTGTAAAAATATTTTGAATTGACATACTAGTTATCTTTAATTTTTCTTTTTTTCAAATGTGTCTTAGTTTTTAAAAATGTATTTTTTATAAAATCTTTAATCAAATTTTTATAATTAATTTCTCAATTTTTTATTTATAGACCTTCAGTTCCTATGGAACGATCAAAGAAAATTACAACTGAATGTGGTATTGAAATTAACTCAAACTCTTCTACCAATTTTCTCAACAATTTAATGAATTATATACAATTTTTACTTCTTTGCTGCCCAAATTTAGAATCTATTGAATTTGTTTTTACTTGTGATTCGGGTTTGAAAACTGATTTTATTAGTGACTCTGGCTCTAACAAATCAATTTCTTCTGATGATTCTTTTTCTTTCAACTCAATTTCGCTTAAAAAATTTCTCTTGAATCTTGAATCCGTTATTATTTCATTTATTGAGCATCTCAAAAATTTAAATACTGGTGGAAAAAATTTAAAAATCAAAGCAAAATTTACGTCAACATTAGATGAAGATACGTTTGATGTTAGTTTTACAGTATGTATTTGAAATGAATATTTTATTTTTAGAATATCAATACTGACAACAAACTTTTTAATTTGGGGAAACCTTTTGAAATTAAAAAAGACAACGATGATTTAATGGATGATGATGATGAGTATTCAACCTATTATGCACGTAATATAGAAATTGTTGATTCTGTTGGAAGACAACATAAATGTTTGGTTAAAATAATTTCTGAAGAACGGAATTATATGGATTGTGAGTTTTTTTCTTTCCTTCTGTTTATATTACCTAGGATATTTTTACAGATAATGATAGCATTTATTACTCTGGAGATTCTGATGATAATAGATCTATCTCAGGATTTTCTTGATAGACTTGATTTGATTTTTTGTTTAAATTATTTTTTTTTAATTTGATAAATACTTTACTATGTAAATATTTTTTTTAATTTTTTAAATTGTTTTACCATTCAACTAGCCATATTTTATATTTCAATGTTAACTTAATTTTATCAATCATTTTTAATTTAACATTTTATACTTAAAATTCCAACTTAATGGAAAAACAAAAAGGCAATTCTCGTTTGTATGACCTTTGGGAATGTGAAGACAACAATTTGCAAAATAAACGTATTAAATCAACTCGTTATATTCCAAGTATTCTTCCACCTGTGACACTTCCAGATGAAGGAATTTCTTATAATCCTCCGTTGGGGAGCTATTTGGTATTTTTTACATTAATTTTACAATCGAAAAATAAATAGAGGAACTAATAAGATGGGAAAATTATACACGGGAATTTGTCATTAGTATTTCATTTAGGGTTTTTAAAAGTTTTTGCATTTTGTCTCTGTTTATTCCTGCTGAATAAGAAGTAGTCGTTTTCGGTATTAATCTATTGCGAAAACTAAACCCATATTGGAAATATTTTTCGAGTTATCGATCCCAACTCGATTAATCCTCATTTTTTTCTAGCCGAAAAAGAAATTTTAAAGGAAAAATAAGTCATGAAATATTTAATTTTTTAAAGTTTTTTAAATTAATTATTTAAAGGATTTTCTTGGAAAAGTTGTAAAAGAAGAAGAAAAAATTTTTGCTGAAGAGGAACGTGTGGAAAAGAAAATTAGACCAAATGATGATGAATTTTTTAATTTTGGGGTTTTTTAGAATATTTTTTGTTTAAATAATTTATTTGAATTGTAGGGATTGAAAGAAGATTTGAAATTTACTATTGATGGACCTTTGTCTATTGGAGAAGTTAAAACTGAGGCAGAGGAGCCTGTTGAAAATAAAGGTTTTTTATTTGGATTTTGTCCCATTTTTTTCTAATTTTTGGTAAATGTCGGGTTTAGTGGTTCCTAGAAAAAAGAGCAAAAAATTGCTCTTTTGACATTTTTGAGGGGGTAATCGAGTGCGGAGTCCGAATTTGAGCTTAGAATTTTGTTATAAAATTTAAAAATCTTTCAGAGATTAAAATAGAAGAGAAAGACAACGAAAAATTAAGAACTCGTCTTCGTCTAAAGAAAAAGAAAAATTTAAAACAAATTCAAAATTCAACAACAAAAGTTGTCGATAATCAAAAGAAAATACAAAAACAACAATTACAAAGGTTTTGTTTAAAATTCAAAATAATTTTTTAATTTTTTAAGTTTAAAATCGTTAACTAAAAATGTCAATTCTGAACATGCTCAACATTTAAATAAAATTAAATTAAAAAATAAACAATGGAAAATTAAAAATTTGACAACGAGAAAGAAACTGGGAAGAGGGAAATTCGAGCCTTATGAAGAGCCAGTAATTACTCCAAAGGAATTACCTGCCTCTTTGAGATGTTTAACAAGTGCTAGTAATTCTTTAATTCAAGGTTGGGAATTTAAATTATTTTAGAAAAATTGTGGGGTTGGAAAAACAAAATTTTGATTTTTTTTCTGAACTTTAATTTAAATTCTCCAAATTAAAAAATAATTTTTATTGGATTTAATTAGGATTTTATTTTAAGTTCATCAGTTTCGGAATTGATTTTTAAATTTTTTTATTAAAAAATAATTCTTTTTATTTTTTTAGAAAGGGTAAAAAGTCTTCAACAAAGGAATATTTTATCAATTGGAGGTGCAAACAAAACAACAAACATCAAAAATAAACTTAAAATTAAATTTGTTGAAAAACGTTCCGTTAAATCGATTACTGAAGATTCTGAAATTATTTAAATTATTTTTTGTTGTTTGTTATAAATTGTTTTTAATATCTGAATACACTCACTGGTACATCTGACCTACAAGTTTTCTTTCTTGAGGACCAGGCTGGACGCAAAAAAATTTTTGCAGCCGTAAGTTTCAAATGTACCTATCAATTACGTGTAACCTTAGGAGTATTATAATTGATAACCCTCCTAAGGTAAACAAAAATGCTAAATTTAAAATTATTTTTTATTCCGTTTATTTAATTATTTGAACAAAAAATATTTAACAAAAAAATCGAGATGATGAAAAATACAAGTAAAATAAACAAAATATTAATAATTCTCGCTTTATTGTGGATCAATCTACATAGAATTTTTGTGAGTTACGACTACATCACTTCTAAGAAATTATGGCATTCGAGTTTTAACAGCGCTGGGTATTATACGTTTTGTGCATATGTGCCTCCAACCCTTTCAAATCAGGGCTCTTGTTCCAATTGGAGCTAAATCATGGGCCAGCTCCAAAGTTAGTGTGTAATATTAATTATAGTGTAGCCATAAAAAGGTATTTAAAATTGAAAATCTAGATATAATACCTATTCTTTTTGTCGATATCATGATCAGTCCCACAAAAATTTAACAGATAAAGTGAGATGTTAATGTAAATGCCCGATTGATATAATAATTAGGGCTGAACAAAATACGCAATGCAACTTTACATAAATATTTTAGGCTTGAACCAACATAAAAACAGCATTTTTTATCTTAAGACCCTGTATTTGCATGTTTTGACTAGCCCTAATTTTGTGAGTATTTTTATAGTAAGATTGAGTAATTAATATCTGTTGTATATTAGAATTAAAAATAAAAAAGTGAAAATGCTTGTAAGTAAAATGGAGGCAACACGGGGTTTAAATAAACAATCACTTTCTCTCTCTCTTCTCTTTTCTAACAAAAGAGAAAAAGAGACAATTTCGAATCATTTTAATTTAATTAAAAATAAAAATAATTTAAATAAGCCTTTCTTCTTTTCCAAAAGTAGCAGTTATTTGTTGTTGTATTGAAGGAGAATTAGAAGGGGAACTAAAATTGTTGTTAATAGCTGGTTGTCTATATATTTGTGTATTTACAAAATCTGTTGTTTGATAACGATTTTGTTGTTGTTGTTGTGTTTGCATTTCGTAGGCAGCTGGCTAAATTGAATAGAAAATCAAATAAACATTCAAATATAATATTTCCTAAAAGAAAACTTTCCAAAATTTTGATTTTTTTTAAATATTCTCTCTACGGGAAAATTATTCGTGAGGAAAATTTTATTTAAATTTAATTTTTGGTAAAAGAGTAAATTGCCTTTAATTTAAAATTTTTTAATTAAAATTTATTTAAAAATCACTTGATATTTTCCATGTAATTGTCTACTTCTCTTTACATAACGAGCAGAAAAAATACTTGCAAGTGCAATTGTGACAAGCAAAACTTTAAAAGAAGTATATTTTTCTTTTAAAATTATTTTTAATTTTAATTACTTGTAATAATTCCCAATAAAACAAATATTCTAAGATTGTCTGATGAATTTGTTGAAGTTGAAAATTTTGATGTTCTTTTCATTGACTCACCAATATCCTAGAGAAGAAAATTAAAAATATAGAATTGACCCCCAATTCATTTCTTACCCCATTTTTATTTAAATTTTCTTCTTGAACGAAATTTTCTTTATTTTCCATTTCTCTTTCAATATTTCCATTTATTTTAGAATTTTCATTTTTGTCTTTTTCATTTCCTTGATTATTTAATTCATCTCCTTCCCCCAAATTATTATTTATTTGAGGAAATTCGACATGGGAATGTTGTTGTTCTATTAATACTTCATTTTTATCATTAGAAGATTGTGGGGGTGTGGGTGGGGAATTTAAAGTCTAAAAAATAAAATAATTTTTGGAAGAAAAATTGAAAATATTTACATTTGAGGGCATAATTGTTGTTGTAAATAAATTAGTATTTAATTGTTCTATTGTTTTAGATGGTGATGGGGGTTTTGTTGAGGGAAGATTAAAAGGTATTCCATTAAATGTTAATATATTTTGTGTTGAAGTTTGTTGGTGGTGTTGGGAAGGCTTTAAATTAATTAAAAAATGTTTAGTTATTTATTTAAATAATTTTTAAAAAAACAATTAATGGTGGGGGTAGTGGTGGTGGTTTCTTACAGATTTTTGGGTAATCCAGACTTGGTAATGGACATGGATTTTGGTATCCGTATCCGGATATTTACGGCGGATACCGACGGATATCCGCAGGCATTTTGAACCTATCTGTGTCCATATCTGTATCCATTACCAAGCCTGGGGTAATCATCCAAATATAATTTATATTTTAGTTTCTCAGACATTAGGGGAAAAGGTTTTGTTCTCAAAAAATTTTAATCTCTAAAAACTAATAAAAAATCATTTTGATTTAAAATTCACAAATAAAATCAACAAAAAAATAAATAAATTTCCACTACCAACCTTTTCTTCAACAATAATCGACCCATTATTAACTAATTCAGTTGTAGTCGAAGGAATATCAACTAAATGCATTGTAACCCTTTCAAATCCATTATCTAATTCATCACGTATATTAGGCCTTCCAAAATCTTCAATTAAAATTTTTGTTGTTGTTAGTGAAGGAGAAGAAGTAAAGAAGTCTTTTTCAGGTAATTTAACTAAAATTTTGTATTTAAAGAAGACTTTTCCTTTTATCGTTTAGACGACCTAATTAAATCCTCAAATAATTAATTTAATTTAAACAAAAATCAAAATTTAATTAAATTAACTAATCAATCAAAAATAAAATATTTTTCTACCTTCACTTGAGGTAATTGAAGTAATTGTTGTATTTGAGGTAATAATGTTTTTATTTTCATCAGTTATTGTTTGGTTATTGATATCCTTGGCATTTTTATTTTCTAAAGAATAACTTTTTTATTTTTAAATTAACTCTTTTTTAACAACTCTTTAATTTAAAAAGTTTTTTTAACCCCCCCCCCCTTCCTCTTTTTCCCTTACCATTTTTATTATTCCATTCAGTAGTTCCATTAATTAAATTAATTCCTTCCAAATCCTCCCCAACATTTTCAGAAATATTTAATTGATTATTGTTTGTTTTATTTAATTTTTGTTCTGATAAATTCTGGTTTACAAAAAAAGGATTTTCTTCAAAATGTTTGGGGGTTGTAGGTAATAATTGAATAAAAGGAATTGTTGTTGTTGGTAATTCTTGTTGTTCTTTATTTATTTTTAATGGATGATATTTTTTATTTAATTTTGTATTGTTTTTATTTAAATAATAATGTAATTTGTGGTGATTACTAAATTGAAGTTGTTGTTGTTGAGGGGGAGAAGTAAGGGGAGGAGGTATTTCTTCTTTAAATTTATTTTGTTTTTCGGCATCATTTGAAGGTGAAACATCTTTAAAAATTATTTAAAATTAAATAGAGGGGAGGAAGAGTATTTTATTTTGTAAATCAAAATTCCAAATTTCAAATTTCCTCCTAAATCTTTTATTTTCCTAAAATAACAACAAAACTTCTTTACCAATAATTTCCATCCCCAAACCAGTAAATACAGGAAATTGAGGTGTATTTATTATTTTTGTGGCATTAATTGAATTGTTTAAATGCCTGAAAATTAATTTTTGTTTTAAATTATGAAAATTATTTTTTTAAATAAAAAATAAATTAAATAAAATTATTTATTTTCATTTTATTTCAACCGCAATTTACCTCAATTTTGTCTCATTTTTTAATTTTCCAAAATTTCCCCCCAAATTCTCTAAAGTATTATTTTGTTTTTGTTCTTCAATAATTGTTTTATTATTTTTATTTATTTTTCCTTCTACAAATTCCTCATTTGCTTCTTCCTCTACATCCCCCAATAATCCTTCAAGTGAAGGCTCAACAAAAGTATTATTATCATTACTTAAATTTGTTGAAATTTCTTCAATTTCTATTTGTGTATCGTTTAAATTTTTAGAAGAATGCTGTCTTTGTAACTAAAAAAATAAATAAAATTTAAAAAGGAAAATATAACTTTAAAAATCTTATAAACAATGGGGAATAGGAAGGGTTGGTAATTCGGAATATAGTACATAAACGAAGGGTTGAGGATTTTTTGGATAGGTTCCGAAATAGACTTTCCATCACTAAATGCGACAAAATAAATTTTGATTATACTTTTATTGTACCAATAACTAAAGTTTAGAGAATTAAGATTGTCAGTTAAAAGAAATCCTTTTGGATATCCTTAATCAATTACCAAAACAAAAGAAGTTCCATTCTCAATTAAAAATCATAAAATATTTAAAAGACTTGCATGTTCTGCAGAAGTTTTATATCGTTGAACAGCCTCCAAAGGTGGTCTAAATATAGGGAAGGCAACTGGAGGATTTAACTTTTCTGTGGCAAAGCTTTGGACGATAAATGTACACAAAACTAGTTTTGAAATTAAATTTATAATTTTGTAAATAATTATAAAAACATACAAATAAAAATAAAATAATTAATACATCCAAATATTAATAAATTCATTTTTGTTGTTAAAAACAAAAAAATAAATAATAATTAAATATCGAAAATTAATAATAATATCCTCCCATTTTAATATTAAAAAGTTAAAGATCTAAAAATTAAATTAGTTTTAAAAAATTGGTAGCCTTCGTGAAAAACATGAGAACAGGAAAGTTGGGAGAGTTATTGGAAAGTTGCCAGTTTAAAAAAATAGTATTTTGTTGGTTTATAAATTATTTTAAATATCTGGAACTAAATTAAAATATTAAAGATGAAAGTCCTAAAAGGAATTTTGAAGATAATTTGTATTTATGTACATATTTTAAAAAGTTGTATATTTAAAACATGAGAATGGTGAAAAGAATTAACTGGATTTATCCAAAATCAAGCAAAAATGAACAATGAAAACTTGCAAGGTAATGCGTGAGGGAATGTTTCCTTTTACTCCACTAATAAAATAAATAAATATTTTTTTAACTTCCATTAATTTTTAACAAAAAATATATTATTATTAAGGCTGTGATAGTTAGGCAAGTAAAATCAGTGAAATAGGCGCCTAAAATAGGCACCAAAAAGCCAAAAAAGGCACGAAAATAGGCAGGTAAAAAAGGTTATCTGCCTATAAAATTAAGATAAAAACAAGTAAATAGCCACTTATTCGTCGTTTTTTTACCATTTTGCCATTTATTCGCCATTTTAAATCATTTTTTGAACAAAATTGTTGTATTTTTTTAAAAATGTCGATAATCGACAAAAAGCACATCTCGCCCAACCCACAAAACGTCCCACCCCAAAATGCCACACCACCAAAATGTCTAAACTCAAAATGTCCAACAAAGTAAAAATACTCAATTTGTCTAACTATAAATTAAAAATGGGAGTTGGCACTTATTTTCCTTAATCTGGGAAAGATTTTTTTAGATTTTTTACTGATTTTCAGGCAAAATCTAGGAAAAATCGCTAAAAAAGGCAAAAATAGTACCAAAAAATTCAAAATAGGCAAAAAGGCTCAAAAAGTCCAAAATAGGCAAAAATAGGCATATTAAAAGTCATGCTATACTCTTCTGACCAAGCTAAAAACACGTTTTTTGAACGTTTTACATCATGCCAAGCTTGCAGAAAAAATAGGCATTTGCCTATAAATCACAGCCTTAATTATTATTTAGCTCCCATAAAATAGTTAAAGGAAAGAAAAGAGCTCCTTTCTTTCTTCTTCAATGAATGAGTCCCCTTCCTCCCCTCCCCTTCCCCCCCCCCTTCCTCCAACAACTACAATTTCCCCGTTTCATGTAGTTATTCTCTTTAAAAATCCACTCGTCTTCTCTTTTGCTAGGCCAGTTTGTTTGTGTTGTCACAACTAAATCAAGTGTTGCAGAGTAAAGCAAAATCAAAAACAAAAAAATGAACGGGGACTGTGAAAGGGATAAAAAAAGGAAATGAAAGGGATTTTTTTAATAGATTATCTCTAATTTTAAGTAGATTTAACAAAAATTTAACGTGTTTTTGATTAAGGGTAAATAAATAAATTTAAAATTTAATTTTACGTATACCCAATAATGTACTTTAAGGATTTTTAATTTGGTTGGTTATTGGATAGGAAGAAGGGTTGAGATTGAATTTTTAGGTAGAGGGAAATAGACTTTTTCTTCAAAACTTTCTAGAAGTAAATTTTTTAACGACTAAACAAAAGCATTTTTAGGGTGTAAATGATGTTCCTTTCACATTAGACGTTGTTAGTGTTTTTGAATTTGTTAGTGTATTTAATTAGAGCCCGGTCCTCTTACAATTAGGTCTCAAAATGTTTTTTAAGGAAAGAGATAGGAATTTTGGGAATTTAAACATTGTCCTTATTAAAATCAAAATTAATAAATTCTTTTCTAAATTATATTTCGATTATAAATTAATCTTTGAAAATTGCAGGTTCATAAAGTGTCGGTTAACAGAAGAAAATAACGGACACAAAGAGTGGATAAACAAAAATATACTATTCTTCATTTATTTATTCACAATTGCTCATTAGTTTTCTCTTATTTAAAAATTATATATATTTATTTCATGGAAATCGGAGAAGAGTAAAAAAATATTAAAAATAACTTGAAGTACTTAATTATATACAGGATAATTTTAAGAAGTAAAAATAATTTTTTAAAAAAAGATTGTAGAGAAAGAAGACTTTTTGTAAAAATAAATAAGGATAAATTAAAAAAATATGTGTGGTCTTGTAAAAATATTTAAAAAAATTTAAATTTCTAAAATTCAAGAAAAAAATTAAGGAAAAATTAAGAATGTATGAAGTATGTAAATTATTTAAATATTTTTCGTAACAAATAATAAACTTGTTGGTTTTATTTTAAAATAATTTGATAAAACGATTAAGTAAAAATTTTTAGAAAAATCTCAAATAAATTTAACATTTAAAAATAAGCAAGAAAAATCCTTAATTAGAAGAAAAAATTAGAAGACACCCAAAGTTAGGCAATTCTTTGGGTGATAAAGGAAGTCTGCTGTTTTGAGTAAAAAAGGTTCGGAGGTGCAATTTAAGGAGGCTCTTAAATATATCGAAAGCTTTAAATAAAAACACAATATCTACAATTAAAATTAAATTGAACCTAGAAAATAATAATTAGCTCTATATACTCGTTTTGTATATATTTTTTATAAAAGAACAAGCAAAAGCACTCATATTTTTTAGGTTGTTAATTGTTTTATAGACTAATTATGGAAAGAAATAAATTGAAAAATAATTTAGAGGTAAGCTATTATTTTTATGTTTTTCTTTTACAATTTTCTAATTTTATTAATTTTTGGAGTAAAAAGTTAAACTATAGTAAGTAGATCAACTTGGGGTTATACTAAAGTCCACATGGATATACACGGGATTAAGTATTCATATCCTTTCAAAATCTCATTTTTCACAAAAATGTTATATTGATTTTAATTTTTAACACAAAGTGAAATAAATCAATTTTAAAAATTAAAAAATTATTTTGATTTTAACTACAAAAAATGTTAAAATTAAAAAAAAAGTTGCAAAAAATTAAAAATTAACAACAATTACATCATAAATTGGATAATAAAAATATTTTTACAAAAATTAATTTCCAGTCAATTTTTTAAAACAAAATTTAGTCAATCTAAATTTGGGCAACAAAATAAAAATAATTAAATTAAATGACGCTCAATTCTCTCTAAAACAAAGAAAAAATAATTTGTGAGCGCAAACGGGGAGGAGTAAAACACAAAAAATATTCAAAAGTTTGAATAGAAACACACAAGTTTTTGGTTAAAGATGTGCAGGTGTTTTGTGTGTTTAAAAGGAGTAAAAAGAATTTGCATTCTTTTCGCTTTTGATGACCTAGCGAAAGATCGATTAGTTACAACTACTTTTATTTAATGCAAAATGACCTGCGCGAGAAAAATAAAATGGAAAGAATAAATAAAAAATTTTTTTATTATTTAAAAAATATTTGTTTTAGTAAAACCTCGAGAAAGGCATTAAAAATAGTAAAACCAAAGTAGGGAAAAATTGAATTTTTGTACTAGCAGAAACGGAAACCAAAGCAGTAGAATAAATTCAGTTTTCTCTCATTTTGACAGAATGCCAAAATTCAGGATTTTATAAAAATTTAAAAAAATCTCTATATTTATTTTCTGGCAAAAAAAGCTAAAAAAATCATTAATTTGGGACAAAAAAATTCCAAAATAACTGAACGAATAGAGGTCATCCATCTGCGTCCTTCAATAAACAAACCAGTCAGTAATGACACAGTCTCAACGCCCTTTCCCCCTTATTTTTACTGTCTTTACACACTATTAGTTTTACCCTTACATTAATATATTGGGGGAAATGGGGATAGAAAATATCTACATATACAGAAATTATTGAATGAATTGACCATTTCAAATCAATAAAAGTTTAATGATCATTAGAGAAATTTATTAATTTTTAAAGTTAAGGGGTTTATGTATTGGTTGCTTAAAAATAATCTTTTCTCTTCCAAACATTTTTAATATTTTTAAAATTAAAGACTTGAGGATTAAAAGAAATTAAACTTGAGGCTAAGTAACTATCTCAGGGAGTAAGAAAATCTTTAGTTTCGAGATTTAAGCCAACAAACAGAAAAAATTCTTAAAAAATTAAAAAATAAAATTTTTTTATTAAATTATTTTCTCAAAACATTAAGGAAAGCTTGATGTGGTATTCTAACATTTCCCACATTTTTCATTCTTTCTTTTCCTTCCCTTTGATGTTTTAATTTTTTCCCAAGACGATCAGCCACAAAATTGCCTAAAAACAAGTTTAATGAAGTTGTAGAAAAAAAGTGAACTAAGTTGCTCCTTAAAAAACAGAAAAGAACATGGGGGAGTAATTAAGAAAATTATAAAAAAAAACGGGGGTAAAGAAGAGAAAATTTCCACAAATTTTATAAAAAGCAACTTCAACAATTTATTTTTCAAAAATATTTTATTTACCCTTTAAAACTCCAGCAAAATCTTTTTTCATTGGTTTAATAATTGCTTGTGCCACAGCTTTTCTTGAAGTGCCAAAAGAAGCCCTTATTGTAACTTCAATTTGTTGAGAAGGAATTTCATTTTTCAATTTATTAATCATTTGATTAGCACGTTTTCTTGCAATTACACTTGGACAGATTAACGATAATTCTTCTATCTGTTTGTCATTTAAATAAATACAAATCTTCTCTAATTTACATTCTCTATAACCTGAAAATTAATTTTTTAAAATATTTTTAAGGAAATTTTTAATAAATTTATCTTTAAAAAAGCTTACTTTTAATTAGTTATACAAAAAAGTTTTTTAATAAAAAATTCGAACCAACGACTTATCAAACCGGAATTTGTAAGTTTCCTATTACACACGGAACCAAAGGGAGCGGAAAATTAAAAAATTTATTTTCTTTAATAAAATTTTTTAAAAATAAATATTAAATTATAAAATCCTTCCATCCTCTTCCTTACCGTCATCTTTCATATCAAAAGAAGCATAACCACTTGTTAGTCTTTTTAAATCATCAAAAAAATCAACAATAATATCCAATAAAGGTAACCAAAAATTAAAAAAATATTTTTAAAAAATAATTTTTATTTTCCAAAAAAACCTCCATTTAAGTAACATTTTTGTTTCGTCAATATACATCGTTTCTATATTTTCACCTCTGGCATTTTCACATAAAGAATTAATTAATTGAAAATACTCGGCTGGAGTAACGATTGAAACTAGAGATACTGGCTCGTGATAACTAGAAAATTTTTTGAATTTTGAGGCAGATTTCTTTTAAAATTTTTAAAAAAATAAAAAAGTACCAAACAATATCTGTTGGACAGCTAGGAAAAGATGAAGGTTTTGAAATAACAATTTGCTCTTTTCCTCCATAACGTTTTTGCCTAATTGATTCATTATTAACAATATCTGAAATTTTTAGAAAAATGTTTTTTAAATAAAAGCAGGGTAGCAACTGTTCTCCGAACCCCGACCCGAAGGCTTTACCCCAATCCCCGACGATCCCGCCCCCGAAGGCTCAGGGTGCTAGTCTAAATAAAACTTTAGGTGGCCTTTAAAAAATAAAAAGAAAAATTCCCGTCAATTTCTTGGTTATTTTAAATATAAAAATAAATAAAAAAGAAATTAAAATTCAAAATAAACCTGCCAAGTATTCAACAGTTGGGGAAGTAAAAACAGCCAATTCTCCATATTCCTTTTCTAAAATAAAACCAAAATTAAATATAAATAACAAAAAAACCTAAACGTTGGCCAAATATTTCCATATGTAAATTTCCCAAAAATAAGAAAATTAAAATTAAATAAAATTTATTTACCAATAAAGCCAACTCGCCATCCCTTAATAATTAAATATTAATTTATAATTAGAGAATTACAAGAAATAAATTCTATAAATGTTAAAAAATCTTTTTTTTTGACAGATAAATTTAATAAAAAAATTTTATATTAGTTCAAAGATCCTACTTAAAATTTTTAAACTTTTTCAAAAACTTGCCTGTCCAAAAATAGCACTAGAATCAGTCTCAATTTCAACAGAAGAGTCATTTAAACAAAGATTTTCAACAGCTTTCTAAAAAAATGTTTTTCTAAATTTATTCAAAATCCAAACATTTAAACGTTCAAATTCTGAAGACTCCGTTGGAAAAAGCCCAGCATAAACTGTTGGTTTTATTCTATTAATTGACATAAAAGGCTGTAAATCTATTTTATTTCCAGCTTCAAATATAGTATCTCCGACAATAATATCTTTTGGTGATTTAATTCCACAATACATATAACCAACTTGGCCTGTAGTTAATGACTAAAATGTCGGTAAAAATTTCACGTAATAAATGAAAAATTCAAAAGGAAGAAATTGGACATAAAAAAGTGGCAATTGTGTCGAATTGGGGTCCGAGAATCATAGATAAATCAAGTGTTAGACAAAAAAATGGAAATTATTCAAATAAAATATTTTTGTATTTTAAAATTGTATAGGACCTTATTCAATTTTTGAAATCTGAGTTAAGATTCGTAATTACCGCTGAAAGTTACACTAGAGAATGTTTTAGCAATTTTTTAAATTAAATTTTCAACTCGACACAATTGCCAAAAAAGTTGAAAGAATTAATGTGAAATTTTAAAAGTAAAATTTCTTGGAATACAAAAATTAAATAAACCCAGTGCCTGGTCCTATACAATTAAAAAAAATATTTTTGCGATTAAACTCCATCCCACTTATTCCAAGTTGATTCAATAAAAACGATTAAAAATTCATTTAAAATAACCTCACATGGAACCATCTCTGGATGTAAAAAACCAACTTGTCTAACATTATAGACACGTTCTTTGTCATTAAAAAATTGAACTGACATTCCACGTTTTAACTGTCCATGTTTAATAACCAAAAGTAAAACAACTCCGCAACGATGATCAAACCTAGAATGTAAAGGGAAAATGCTTAAAAAATTTTTGTAACATGAAAATAAAACTTAATGTTTATTCAAAAGCTAATAGAAAATTACAAACGAAAAGAGGGTAAATTAGGAATTTATTTTAACCAATATAGAACTTTCTGAAACACCTCGCCAAAAAGCTAACCAAAATTTACAGCGCCGGTTATTAGGGCTGGGGTTTCCAAGTCGGGCCGACGTTCGAGTCATATTTTTCACGCTCATTTTTATCGGGCCGACCCGACCGAGTCGTTTTCGGGCTAAAATTCAATGCCCGACTCGATCTTTCGGATCGGGACCCCAACCCTATCGGTTATATAAAAGATTCCCAATTAAATTAAAAATCAAAAATAAAATACCAAGAATCAAATATGTGTGCCTGAAAGGATTTTTCTTCCTTCATTTCAAAATTAGGCGGAGGAATTCTTTCAATAATTGCATCCAAAATTGAAGGGACATTTAATCCCGTCTTTGCAGATACTTTAAGTATTTCCTCTTTTTTAAAATCAAAAAGTGTTTGCATTTGTTTTTCAATTCTATCAATATCAACCAATGCCATATCAATTTTATTTATTATTGGAATTATTGACAATTCGGCTTGGAAGGCATCCCAAAAATTAAAAATTGTTTGAGCTTGTATTCCCTTAAAAATAAAAATCTAAAAATGAGATATAACTAAACTTGATTTGCAGCTACAAGAAGAATAGCACCACCACAAGCAACTAAAGAACGCTTGACTTCAAAACTGAAATAAAATTATGAAAATTGTTGACTCAAAATATTTAAAAAGAAAAATTTACTTAAAATCAACATGGCCAGGCGTATCAATTAAATTGAGCATCATTCCTTTATAAAACATAGTACAAGTTTGGGCTTTAACCTAAAAAAGAGCAAAAGGTAATATTATAGTAAATAAAATAAGATTTGAAAAAAATTTTTGTTTCAAAAAATCTCTAAAAAATTCTTTAGTCAATTAAGAAAAACAAACAAACAGTAATTCCTCGCTCTTTTTCGACCTCCAATTTATCAAGATATCTTTGTTCCGAATCAGATGGAATGACATTTGTTAATTGTAATAATCGATCAGAAAGTGTACTCTTGCCTTGAAAATTTTTTTAAGTTAAAGGGGGGGGGTGTTACATTTTAATTTCCTTCGAAGGTCTGTTAATTATGATGCTTTGATAAGGAAAAAATAAAAACGATGCTAACCTTTACCCTTACATGAAGCCAAAATTTAAATAGAAGTCTTAATTTTATAAAAATTTACCGTGATCAATATGTGCAATTATTGCAAAATTTCGAATTTTATCTAAAACATTATTAAAAATTTATAAAAAAATTTAAAAAATAAACAAACCAGGTGTATATTTATTTAATGATTTGAGTAAAACATTTTCTGTAAATTTTTCAATTTTTGTTTCAGTTGAAAATAATCTATGTTGTTGTAGAAATATAAATTTTGAAAATTTTCTTGGAACCAATGCATAGTGGACTTGAAAGTTTGACATACTACATATCATGAAGAAATAAGAAAACGGGCCTAAAGTCAATAAAAACTTTTTTTGGTGAAATGTCTGATGGTGAATTGCCCGGTTCCCTAACGTTTCGTCACTGAACTTTTCGTCACCGAACCTTTCGTCAAAACCTTTCGTCACTGAACCTTCCGTCACCAAACCTTTCGTCACTGAACCTTTCGTCACCAAGACTTTATTTTTAAAAATCAAATAAGAAGTTGTCAAAAATGACAAATTGATCATAATCGGTAATTTAGTTATATTTACTGTGTTGCTAAATGATAGGAGACAGTACGTAGGTACCCAATTGGGTCATTAGCTCGCTGAGCAAATTCAGCAAATATTTGTTGCAAAGTTTCTATATTGTGTATAAATACAACTACTCAATGTATATTACCAAAACTTCATCTGCAGGAGGACCCATTAGCACGTCCATTAAAATACACATAAATGTGTAAACCTCATTAATAGGCACAAATACCAGAGCCTAGGAAAGAAACTCTAATGAATTCGAGGAAATACGGTAGATACCTGAAGTGATCGGAGCAAGTTTTTATCATTGTTATTATTTCTATAACGAGCAGATAAACCAGGCAGTGCTTGTATATGATTGTATAACGCATTTCCAAGATGAAAAACACATCCTCAAAAAATTTTCTAGAGCTAGTTTTTCCTAAGATTTACCGGTAATAGTCGCATGAGGGAAGACTTGGCGCACAGCTGATATCTCAGATTGTTCAAAATCACACATGAAACGTTCTGGAGGCCAGTCTTGAATGCGATTTTGAATTGCTCGGAAAACGTTAATATATCCTTGAACGTGTTTTGTGGGTAGACAAGCAAAGATGCAAGGTACTGCACAAGAGTCTACGATGACGTGAATAGTGAACAACTGTCCAAAGCCTCTTGGCTTTGGACAACTTGATTATCCACGGCAGAATAACGTTCAAACTGGTATTCAAAGCCGTCACGAGTTAAGAGAGATGAACCTCTTTTAGATTTTCAATAAATTCGAGTAAATCCTCCATCTCCTCGGAAGATGAAGAAAAAATTTGCCCCTCATCTGATGATGAACCTACGTCCATTTTAGCCAATATGAGTGAAAAAATAAAAATAGTAAAAATAGTAAATCAAAATAAATTTATTTCACTTAACATCCTTATTATTATTTGTTTTTTATCAAAAAGTTATTAATTTTGTTTATTATATTTCATCTTCATTCATATGACTTTCTTTTATTCAACTTAATTTCCTTAAATCTATTTTGTTAAATTTGTCCATCAAGATGTGCTTTCTCTTTTCTATGGTGAATAGTGACGAAAGGTTCAATGACGAAAGGTTTGGTGACGAAAGGTTCAGTGACGAAAGGTTTTGACGAAAGGTTCGGTGACGAAAAGTTCAGTGACGAAACGTTCGGCCACCAATTGCCCCAGTTTATTGAAAGAGGCAAGAAGAGGCTCATTCCCTTCTTCTCTCTTCCTTATACTCAAACATCCCATAGACCGAAATTTTAAGTGGCCATAACTCGAATTAGTCGTATCACAAGCAACGTACATCGATTCGTAATATTTAGGCAGTCGAGATTCTTTATTTAAAAGTCGGAATTCGGTATTTACTGTAAAACATATTCAGTTTTACATAAATTTTGGATGAAATTAAAATCAGCGACAGAAATTTTATTAAAAAACTTGATAAAACCTCCTATTAGATATGTAAATATTTCAAATATCCTATTTTAAGTCACATACAGATAAGTATCGAGAATCATAATTATCCGAACAATTTATACATAGGTATTTCCATCTTTAATTTGGCAAAAAAAGCGAATCAATTACATAATTTAAAATCTTTTAGAGAAACCCAAAAATTTTTAAAAAATATTAAAAATTTATTTAAATGAAATAAAAATTATAAATTGTTGAGAAATTATTTTAATGTCGCAACAGCAACAACAACATCCGCAAGGTCTTAAAAATAATTTTTTTAAAGAATTTTTAAAAACTTTTTTAAATTTTCTAGTATTTGGTTCGGGTAGTAATTATAATCCATCATTAGTTCACCCCCAACAACTAAATCCTGCTGTTGTACAAAATCACCATTTTGATCTTCAATTACAACAAATTTCTAATGCTTCTATGCATATGGATGTTTGTTTATTTTTGGGGGTTTTTAAAAATTGTTTTTTTTAAGTTTGCCCGAAGGCAGCAATATTACCCACAAATTAATTCTGTCCCTCACGAAATGTCTTCTCTTATTGGAGATGTTCAATCAATAGCCAAAGTTTTCTTTTTCTCTCAAATTTTTATTTTTCCTTTTATAAAGACTCAAATGTTTCCACCAAATATCCAACCTTCCACAGAGGTAATTAGAACTCCCCAAACATTTGGGACAATCCTTCAATCACCCCCTGCCCCCCACCAACAATTATTATTTCCCCAACAATCTACTTCAAACAACAATTACATGCCCGATTTGGCTTCTTCTCTTGCTGCACATCAACAATATTTGTTGTTAGCACAACAGCAACAATATTTGGAGCAACAAAAACAACAGATTCACTGTCAACAACAACGTCAACAAATTGCTTCTTCCTCAATTGTTTCTATTTTTTTTCTAAAATTATTTTTTAAATTTTTGTTATTTAAACCCAAAAATAGTGATCCCGTAAATGCTCGAATAATTACCCTCTCCCAAATAATTACCCCATTTAATAATTACCCCCTCTTGTTCCTACACAAGTTTTAAAAATATTGAAAAAATCATTGATTTTCATTTTTAATTATTGAAACATTTTAAAACAATATCAAAAAATAAATCGATTTCCTCATCGATCTATTGAGATATGTACATATACCCCAAATTTAGCACTTGCTCTCGATTAAAATTTTTTCCACATGGACATTTTTCATATTTTCCTCTCATTGGAAATTTATTAAAAACGGAAAAATAAAAATTCAAAAAATATTTAAGGCCTCAACATCTACTTCAATCCCTTATGTCCATCAAAGCTATCCACCCCAACAACAACCACAAACCTCCCAACAGCCCATTTTTCCTCTAAAAGTTCCCAATCAAAGTTTAGCCAGTTCTTCTTTTGAACATAAAGAAAAGCCTCAATTAATTCAAAAAATGAAATCACCCGAAAATCCTAAAATATTGGCAGAAAAAGAATTGGAATTACAAGCTAAACGAAAAGCACAAGAAAATGCTAAACAAAGGTTTTTAGAAGAAAAAATTCCAAAAAAATTCAAAAAAAATTTTTTTTTCAGTCAATTAGTGCAAGAAGATTTAGATAGAAGGCAGTTAAGTGCTCGAGAACGGACTCAAGGTATACAAGAGAAATTACAAAGTATTCCGGATCCAATACATTTGGCCGGTTGCCATACTTTATCCAAAGGTTTTTTTATAAAAATTTTTGAAAAAAAAATTTCTTTTTTTTTCAGTCAACAATTTTATTCCTTTCCCGTCAGAAACAATTTCTTCAACAGCTTTATCTTGTTTTGATCAGCATCAGGCACAAATGGTTCTTTCAAATAGAGACCCTTTATTAGCTGATTATTTGGCAACTTTACTTTCTGATTCAACTGATAATTTACGTGAAATGTGAGTTTGGGTTTTGTTTCCGAAAATTTTTCTCTTAAAAATTTAAGCTAATCAGACAAAAATTAAATGAAATCAAGTAAAATATATAAAATTTTTTTCTGGCAAAATCTGAAAGAGAAAATTTTTGCAGGAAAATAAAATATTGGACACAAAATTAAATATTTTTTTCGAATTTTTTTTTAAAAATTTTAGAGAATTAAAAAAGATGGATGATGAATCAAATGATCAATTAATTGGAATTTCCCCACCTCCTCCACTTGTTGAAGCTATTCAATTAATAAGCCAATTTGCTTTTAGTGTTGAACCCGAACCTTTTGAGAATTTAGAAGAAAATGAAATACAACAACAACAAAATAATCAAATGTCAACTACTTCAATATCTGAACATTTAAATAAACCAGAAATTGAAACAACAATAGAAAAACAAAAAGAAATTGTTTGTAAAAAAAATTAAAAAAAATTTAAATTTAAAATTTAGGTTGATTCAAACATTAATTCTCCCTCAAAAAGTAACAAAGAAATAAATATTGAAACAAAAGAATCTGAAGAAAATCTTTTAATATCCCACCATTCAGCTAGTGAGGATAACGAAAATGACTGCAGAAATGATGTAAGTTGTAATTAACAAGCATTAAATTAGCCAACTTTTTAAAATATTCTTAACATTTCTATATCGATTGGGATTAAAAAATAGATGAAGACTCTCCCTAAAATGTCGTAACTTGAAAAACAGTCAATTGTTATCAATAGAGACAGGATTTTAGGCAAAATGCCTGTTTTTTTCCTAAATAGGCCTGATGCTGAAACGTCCAAATCAGGCGTTATTTTTAAGAAATATGCTTTCAAACAACTTTTATCGTTGCCTAAAATTGCCTATTTTAACTTTTTCTGTCATAATGCCCTATTTTGCCTTTTTTCAGCCTATTTTGCATATTTTTACTAAAATTTGCGAATTTTTTGGTATTTTTTGAGAAATTTGCTGAATAAAAATTATTTTTTGGTAAAAAATACATAATTTTTCAAAAAATTTTTGTCAAAAAATTTTTTTGGGAAAAATTTTCATCCGAAAAATTTATCAAATTATTTTTGGAAACAAAATAATTAATATAAATTAATTTATTTGTAATTCTGATCGTTAAAATTAATTTATTTAACAGTTTTTTGCTTAGATTTATCTTTTCTGATAAAATTTAGTCAATTTAGATCAGAAAATCTCGAAAAAATACTGCCTATTTTGCCTTTTTTTTCGGATTTTAGTGCCTATTTTGGCAGTTTGTTAGTGCCTATATAGGTGCCTATTTTTAACTTTATCGTGCCTAAAAATCCTGTCTCTAGTTATCAACTCTGAGGATTCTTGACGGATTTTTGGACTTGAATTTAAATAGACAAATTTTTGGCGTTCTTATGAAAACATTATGCCAAAAATTGAATTTTTTAGGGGACATTTCAGAATGGCCGTTTTAGGACGGATTATAACCTTTTTGATTTTCAACTGATTAGAAGAATTCCTATATCTTCGAAAGTCAAGAATGATCGATTCTTGATTAGTTTTGCTCGAAGCCTTTTTTGAAATTCTTAATTGTGAATCGATCATTCTGAAACGTCCCCTACCTGGACGTTTCACGGAACGGGCCACTAGAGTGCCGCCAATAGAGAGCGGGCACTAGAGAGCTGAGCCAATAGAGAGCGAGCCACTAGAGTGCCAATAGATTAAAAATGCCGGCAACATCCCCAATTGTTGGAACAACTTTCCCGTCGTTGGACCGAAATTTTTCATTGTTGGAAAATCTCGCCCGCACTCTAGTGGCGGCACTCTACTGACCCCAACCGGACGTTTCAGAATATGATTCAATTCGCCTACTTTTTGCGGGTTTTTCTCTCACTTTATAATTTACTGTAAAATTTCTTTTCATTTTTTGGTATCTCTTTAAATTCCTTTCAATTAGCAGATTTAAATTTTAATTAAGTAATAAATTTAAAAAATGCGAGAATTAATATTTGTTTCTCCATGTGTTTCCCCACAGGTTAAAAAGTCGCGGAAAAGACGAAGATCTACTGAGAACAATGAAATTGTCGAGATTAAAACAAAAATTATTCAAAATAGGCCTCCAACGCCTACAGAAGGTTTTATATATTTTTGCAGCAATTTTATAATTTAAAAAAATTTAAGTGATTAAACAGCGAGAATTAGAATGGAATGAAAGGCAAAGACAAAGAGAAGAAAAATACAAAAAGCGAAACAATATGATACAAAATACCCAACAAATGGAAGGTTGGAATACTGACACTGCTGCTGAAAGTGCATCTTTTGAAAATTTTACTAAAAGTGTTGATAAAATTCTTGATCAAGTGGATGAAGAAATGAGTACATTACCTACATCAACGATGAGTTTAGGTTTATCTGAGGAATCTGGATTTTCTATTAAAAAATCTTGGTTGGAGGAACTTAAAACTGAGGCCCAGAAATTAAAATTTTGGCAAAGACTTTCTGACATACCTACAGAGAAACTTGTCAAATTGTTGACGGTGCTAGAAAAGAATATTCGAGAGTTTTTAATTGATGATGACGATGTTGATGGCACAGCATTTTATGCTCGTATTAGAGGAAATGAGGTTTTTTGTACATTTTTTATTCCAATTTCTGTCTCTTTCCGCTTTTTTTAGAGTGATGAAACTGATGAGGCATTTCGTGAATTGATAGACGAACGTTTGCTTAAATCAGTTGATGCTGCTTTGACGGCCTTATGTATTATGACTTCTAGGCGAATGCCGAAACAAGTACACTTTTTTGATGTTTATTTTTTAAAATTTATTTAAAGGTCCTAGTAGAGGATGTATTTGAGCGTTCAGTTCAATTATGCAAACAATGCCTCCAAGAAGTTATTTATCCAAATACCGATAACTCACTTAAAGTACAATCTTCTAAATTACGAAAATCTGGAGATTGTTCATTTATTAAAAAACGAAACATTTCAAGAAATATAAATACTTCACAATTGTATAGCAGACTTCTTGATTTATTGACATGTTTTTCAGAATTGGTTTTTTTTATTTTTTATAATGTCACAATTCTAATTTTAAATATTTTAGGCCCGTCTTCATAGTCTAAGCGAAACATTGATGATTCAATTAAGTTCACTTTGTACACCCCCATTCTTTGTTGAAAATGTGCCAGAAGTTCAAATGCAATCAATTAATCTTCTTCCTATTATCTTTGCTAAATGCCCTACTCTACGGCGAACTATATTACTTGATCTTCTTAACATGGTTCATAAACTGCCTTTGACACGCAACATTCGCAATTCCCAGCGTCTTAGTGCTAACGAGTCTATTGGAAATTTTACTGTTCTTATATTGCAATTAATTCAATCAGCTGTTCAGGTTTTGGTGCCATTAATTTTTTTTATAAAAATTTTAGTTACCCCCACGGAAAACCGTTCATCATAAAAATGATTATCGTCATGAAAAAATAATTCGTGATTCAGATGATAAAATTGTTGTCGATTCTTTTGATGAAGCTAAAAAGTTGGCTGCTTTTTTTCTTGGTGGTTTCTTAGGGAAATGTACAGCGAAGGCTGAGGATGATTATAGACGATTGTTCGAACAGTTTCTTTCGGTTAATTTTTTATAATTTATTTTCTGGGGTTCATTTGCCGTATTATTCATATTCATTTTGATTTTAATTGTTTAGTTACTCATTTTTAATTTTAGGACATACTAGTTGCTCTACATCGACCAATGTGGCCTGTAGCCGAAATGATTCTTACTGTCTTGGGCAATTTATTGGTTGTGCATTATCGCTCCAAAACATTTGATTTATCTTTACGAATTGCTTCGCTCGATTATTTGGGTATAATTACTGCTCGTTTACGTAAGGATAGAGTTGCTGTCCTTTCGGCTGAATCTTCAGCACAGGAAAAGGATCGTTTAAATTCTATTGTAAAGAGTATTCTATTTGATGAGAATGCCTATGATCCAAGTTATAATGTTGAGGATGTTGACATTAGCCATGTTTGAATTTTTTTTAATTTCCGGAAAATATTTTTATTTTTAGCTATCTTCGAGTGAAAAAATTCGCAAACTTGAACAAGCATTATTTGATTATATAATTGGAACTATGCGGGAAGAAGATGTTTCTGTAGAGGTTTTCTTTTCTTTTTAATAATTCTCTTCTTTTAATTTTTTTCAGTATGTTCTTCTCTTTTATGCCGTTGAATGGTACCGCGAGACAGTATTAGATGTTGAAGTTTGTAAGGAGCGTCATGCAAAAGCATCTGGAAAGGGTGATGTTTCACGCAAAGAAAGCCAGAAAAATGATCAGAAAATACAAAGAATTTCTGAAAAAGGTCAAAGCATGAAATTGTTTATTATGGGACTTATGGATAAACAACATATAAAACGTCGAGGGCAATTCATTGCAAAGAATGGAACTGCTCTTGTAGAGTGTGATGCAAATTGGGTTGTCAAGTATTTGGCTTCGAAGAAAGAATTATCGTTTGTTTATGTAGTTGAACAAATTTTAATTTAAATTTATTACAGACAATTATTTGATGTTTATTTGAGACGGATTTTGGAAGGTTTTAAACCAGATCTATATCCTGTTGCGATTCGAACTAAAGCAATGAAATGCTTGGCACAAATTGTTGAAGCAGATTCACAAGTGCTGATGATTGTTAGTTTTTATTATTAAAAGTGGTGCTTAAAAGTTGCGTTTTATTGATAATTTCCCTCCAAAAATTTTTTTATCCTATTTTGGGGGGGGGGGGGGGCTTCAGCTATGCACTTGTATATTATTAATCATTTATTTTATAGCCTGAAGTCAACAAAATAGTTCAAGACCGGTTGATCGATGCCAATGCATCAGTTAGGGAAGCAACATTCGATTTAATTGGAAAATGCCTTGTATCCAAGCCAGAATTATTCGATACTTATTATTCTATATTACTCAATAGAACAAGGGTTATATAATTTCAAGTTTTTTTTTAATTTTAGCAAAATTTAGGACACAGCAGTTGCTGTCAGAAAACGAGTGATTCGAATTCTAAAAGAAGTTGTACATCTTCGCCCGAAGTTCGAAAAATCTCCTCAAATTATTTCTGTAATTATTCAAAGAATTAATGATGAAGAAGGAGTTAAGAAAATGTGTATTGAGGTTTTTCAACAGCTTTGGATGATTCCAACCCGTGATGCTGCTAAATTGGATGAGAAGGTTTATCTAATAAGATTTCTTCTACATATATGATACTTTTAGGTTCGCCTTCTTGTTGAGACAGCAGTTTTTAGCATAGGGGAGCAATCTGAAGATTATATTGGAACATTAATTACATTGTTAGTTAAAAATTCTCAAGAACAAGATATTATTATTGCCTCTAAACAAATAGTTGACGCGTTAGTAAATCATGTTTTGAATTTAGAGAAAGAGTCTGTTCGAGGTATTTTCTGCTGATCATTTAATTTTATACAAATTTTGTTAATGTTTAGATCAAGGATTGGGTGAAGTAAGTCTAGTTAAATCAACACAGGATTATCAGACACGATTATCTGCAACATTAACTATTCTATCTTTCTTTGCCAAAGCACGTTCTGAATTACTAATAGGCCACATAGAAGTTTTTATTCCGTATTTGTCCATTTCAAGTTCGTCACCTTTACAAGATCAACTTCTTAGCAAAGTAAATTAAAATATAATGTATGGACGAAAATTTAAAAATTTATTTAGATAATTGAAATGTTCCAAGAGATTATTCCAATGATGGACAGTTATAATACCTCACAAACACTTATTCGACAATTAGATACACGATTAAGCGATATTGTTAAAGAGGGTTGTAGGAATTTGAATTTGATTGACAGCGCTATATCCTGTATGGCTGAAATTCAATTAAAGTTTTTACAAAATGAGGAGCAACCGAGCATTTGTCGACTTTTCATCGTTTCTTACAGTTTGTATTTTAAAATATAAATATTTTTTACTTAATCATTTTTAAAGAATTTTTATTCTTACAATTAGAATATCTTAAAAAACAAAAACCTGAATTGAAACTTGATGAACGAGGTAATAATTCGACATCGTCTACGTCTAATATTTTTGAAGATAAACTTCGAATACTATGCCATGCACTATATTCAATTGGATCGATGTGCCGTTACTTTGATTTTGATATTCTTTTAAAAAATGAACAAAGGGACCTTTTTATTGATATTAATCCTGCTAGTGAATCTAACGAACAAGAACATATAGTTAGCAATTCTGTTTTTTCAATTCTTGTTTCTTATTATATTCAATTCTTGTCTTCTTATTATGCATTATCGCAGATGGCTTTGATTGCTTTAGGTTTTAATTTTTCTCTCTTTAACATAGATTATTTTATAACTCAGGCCAATTCTCCGCTGGATGTCCTGAGGTTTTGCGTAAAGAAAAATTGAAGAATATTTATATGGTTATTTTTTAAAATTGAATATCTATCCATATTTTTATTTTATAGGTTCTTTTGACCAAAACACCTTCAAAAAACACACCAAATGAACACCTTCAAAACACTGACAACCAAAAACACCTTCAATTGAAAGTACAAGTCCTAAAAAATATTGCTAGGTTTCTTTCTGCTGAAGAACAGAGGGCATTGAAAAGAGCTGCACAAGTTAAGCTTGATCAAGAACAACAAACAAAGCAACAAGAAGAGAATTCACTTATCGTTGATGACGCTTTTGATAAACAACAAAAGTCAAAATTGAATGTTGACAATTTGAAGGAGATGGAATTGGACTCATCAGGACTTAGTTCTAGTGTTATTCAGCAATACTGGAATGCCATTCTCACTTGTTATTTTCATAACAAGTAAGCTACATTTTCTTATTTAAATAAAACAAAATTTTAGTGAAATGGTTCGAATTAATTCTGCTCAAGTTATCCGACAAACATTGGAACAAGGATTGGTAACACCCGGATCGTCTATTCCTACGCTTATAGCAATGTCTACTGATTATTTGAGTCAAATTAGAATTGGAGTTGATATATTAATTAGAGATATGAATACAAAATATAAAGGACTTATTCTTGTAGGTTAATTTTTTGCTAACAATCATTTAATCAATTTTTTCAGAGCAAAGCCGTGGCTGGTATTAGGCTTTCTTTCGAATTACAGAAGAAGATTCGAGGTAATGCTAATAAAATTATTCGTGGTTTTCGAGCAAATGACAATCCTTTGAATAGCAATAGAGCCTCTACAAATGGTAATATTAGATGTTCCTTTTCTGTTATGCAAACTAAGTCCGCAAATTTTACCAGCACTAAAGGCAGGGAGTAGTGTGATACTCATGCGGGGTTTCCCTTCTCTCTGATTTTCTTTGCCATTGTTGCTTAATTTTTTTGTTAAAATGTAATTATCAATCACCCTGCTTTTTGCGTTAATGCGGCAAAATGTTGCGGACTTTGCATAATCGAAATGAACTTACATATTAATTTTAAGATTTTATTTTTAGGTGAAAAATTATTAACTCATTCAATTGATGTTACAGCTTTACTTTCTATTTTCTATATTAATGTGCGCGCAAATAGGCAAAATAGACGTACATTTCTTTCTTCTCTATTGAAAATTTTCTCGGAGGAGAACAGTGATGTGAGTTAAGATTTGATTAAATATTTAATAAAATAAGACTAATTATGTTATCAAATTCTTTTAAAGAAAACAGAACAAGAAGAATGGCTTTTTCTTTCTGATAATTTGGCACATTTTCCTTACACTGTGATGGATGAACCTCTTTATGTGATTCATCAAGCGGATACAATTATCTCTGTTTCCGGTCAAAATATTCTCAGCCAATTACGTCAATTACTTGTTCCTGTACACCTTGAAAGAAGCTTAGGATCGAGCAAAGATGAAACAAACTCAAACAAATCAATCAGTATAGAAGAACCAGAAGAATTTAGTGTTGAACATATTTTAAGTCTGTTAATTAAATTTTATAAAATAAATTATCTCTTACTTTTTAGAGAATCTTCCGGAGGACAAGGAAAAAATTTATGAACTTAGAAAGAATAGTCATGCTTGTTTTATTTTGCTTCATTTAAAAAAGTTTTTGATGAACATGTATGGATTTAGGGAAGACAAAGTTTCAGAATATAGTCCTTCTGAACCAACAAATGTTTATGAAAAGCCAGTTAATCGTCGAAATATTCCAGTATTTTCCCCTGCTTTTATTTTTAATGAAATTGGAAATGAAAGTCAAACAGTTGATTTGGATATTAAAATTGCACAGGATTTCCATAGAGTTGACAGGAATTTTAAAATTTGTCTAATAATTTAATTTTTAGTTCCATGAAATGCTTCTTTCATTGGATGATAAAAAGAATGAAGAAGAAACTTCAGCAATTTCTGTCGATGAAGAATCTAATTGTTTCTAATGTTTCCAAATCTTTTAATTGTCGATTTTTATTTCCATATAGAGTAGGTCGAGGTTTTTTGAAAAAACCGAGACCGAGGATCACCGAGGCTGGAAAAGCCGAGATCGAACTCGAGCAGCAAATTTTGGCCGAGGCCCGAGGTCAGCAAAATCGAGGTCGAGGTTTGAAAATGGCCGAGGACCTCGGCTTCGGCGAGGCCTCGACCTACTCTATTTCCATAGTAGTTATTTTTCATTGAGAGAATTGTTATCTAAATTGTGAATATGTATATCTATTGTAACAAAATCACTGTTATTCCCCATATTTTTAGATGTTGGCCCTATGTATTCAGTTTTAAAAGTAAATTTCTGATGCTAGATTCTCATTGCCAAAATTTTGGACCTATTTTACCCTAATTTCCTTTTAAATATGCAAATAAAAATTATATTTGATTCATTTTTACAATTTATTTGGTTATAGGACTTAAGTGTGGATTAAGTCTAGGGTAGCTCCTCGAGCCTTCATGGTCGGCTGAGTCGAACGATACCACTCTAGATGCGAAAATGCCTGTAGACCGAGGTACTAGGTCCTCAAAAATCGAAAAACCATAGGGGTGAGTAAGCTCAATTTTTATATGAAAAATTTGAAATTGCAAATGATAGCTCATTCGAAAGAGCTCATCAAGCTTAGTCAAATGACACCAAAATCAACGAAATCCGACTTGATTGGACATAGTTATGATCGTTTGTTTTAGCTTTTTACTTATGTTCTTCGTGGAGGTTTATGCTGCTATGGAGGAAGGCAGGAATGTCCACAGCCGAGAGAATAGGAATAGGTTTATGTTACTGGTGTGAACCCGGCGACCATAGATAAATTAGGTTAAACAACAATCCTGACCTTATTCGACAGCCCTCAAGGCTTGTTCGATTACAGTTCCCTTACCGAAAGTGGACACAAGTATATGATATAACACGAAAGTACCTCAAATGGCACGGAATAGGTTATTTATACAGAACATACATATGACAATTACATACATAGCACAACATAAAGAATACAATAATTGTGTCAAAACAACAATATAGTACATTCGCGATTATTTTCGGACTTAATTGCATATTATACATACATACCTACATGTGATTGAATACAATAATGGAAGGAGGGAATACAAAATCTTTTTTGGGAGGACAATAACAACAATATAGGCTCTACAACACAACCATGAACGTATTTTGCTTTTATATATCTTTATTTCATCCATCCATTCTTTCCTTTTCCTTCTATCCTTTTCAACCAGAACTATGAGATCCACCGCTAGTTGTACCCTCATTCGAACCGCTGGAAGCGCCACTGGAAGTTTCGGAGTAGACGGAACCGGAACCAGATGATTTGCTGCCGCTTTCTAAAGAAAAATAAAATTTTTTTTATCTAAAACAAAAAACACACCGCTTCCGCCCGAAGTCGAACGGGCTGATCCCGAAGTGCTCTTCCCAGTATCCGTCGTCCCCTTTGAAGAGGTCCCTTTCTTCGACTTGGTAGCCTTCGACGTGCTCTTCTTCGATGTGGTTCCAGCAGATGCGGTCCTAGCAGATGAAGTCCTGGCAGACGTCGTCTTCCTAGATGCCGTTTGCTCCTTCGCAGATGCCGTTGGAAGGCGAGTCGATGGCGAAACCTTTCCAGACTTGCGAGATGAAGCAGCAGCCCTCTCCGTCTCCCTTTGCGTTCTCGAGTCCATCCTAATTGACTGTTGCAGCGCTGTCCGCATACTAGCCTCACTCGGGCTCGGGCCTTTAGCCGTTCTTGTACTTGCTGAACTCGCCACACTGCTAGCTGGACCGAGAGAAGTTGCTGATGCCGAAGGAGGTGGACCCTGAAAAGAATTTTAATAAATTAGGGCGACTCTTCGCAATCTATAATAATTACCGCAGCAGCGGCACATTTCTTCTCAAGAGCACAACAGAATGTAGCAACGTAGATCACAAGGGAGCTAAAATTTAGAAAAACAATTTTCAAAAGAAGTAAAATTAGAGGGTAACTCACATAACTAGATAGACACCCGCAGCGATTCCGTACTTGCTCCAATCCTTAGTATCACGCAGAAAGATGTCATCAGCCGCACGTTTGAAGCGAAGAGTATGTTGTTCGACAGCAGCAGGCAGAAAACGTCCAAACGCAATATCAGCGGCAAGCACCAGCAAAAGTCCAATTACGAGAAGGCGACGGGTGCAGGGAACAGCCATCAGCTAGCAGGAATGTAGTTGTTGTCATCAAAGATGACGAGAATTTAAAAATAAAGAATATTTAAAATATAAATTTAAAAATGATGAATCATTTAGCCAAATAAAAGAAAAGAATTTTAAAGAAAATATTCAGTTTTTCACTTTTTTCACTCCTTTCGCCTTTTCTAGTTTTTTCGCTTCTTCCTAAACATTAATAAATATTTTTCTCTGGAAATAAATAAATAGATAAAAATAGATTTGGAAAGTTGGAGTTTGAAATATTTGAAATTTAAGTTAGAATTTAGAAGTTTAAATTTAAATTGATTGCCCTACAAGAAGTAGGAAGGTGTTAAAATATCTTAGTGCTGATATTTTTTCACATTTGGTGCCACAAAAAAAAAACGATTGGTTTAAAGAGCTAAAGGCTCAATTTGAAAAATTTTTTCAGTAAAAAAAAAAAAATTTTTTTTACATATTGGAAGAGCTAAGTTTGAGAAAGCTCGGTAAAAAAAAAGTATTAAAAAAGAGATTAATTGAGAATATATTAGTATAAAATAAATTGATAGTGAAATGTCCGGCACGATAAGAAGCAGTATCGCGCCGTCAATAGTACGTTTGAAAAAATACCTTGAAGAGGTAAGGCCTGTGATAGATGCCACTGAACGTACTGATGAAGGAGTAGAGTTGCTCCAAAAAATGATTGTGAAAATTCGCAGGGCAATTGCACTTGTAGAAGAAAAAGTCGAAAAATGGGAGAAATATATCAAGGATTTACCGGCAAATGATAGGGGTGCCGAAGAAGCTATTTTTTCTAGATATGCCATAGAAGAAAGGCATTTTTTAGAGTGGATAGATTCAGGAAGAGAAGCTATTGATGATATAGAAATAGTCCTTGCCGAAGGTTCTGACGGTCGTAGTACGCAATCAGAAATTTCGGAAGAGATAGGTGTCGGACTAAATCGGACAAATCAGGCTCGACGAAATATAAATGCAGAGGAAGTCCCAGTTAGAAGTGAACAAATGCTTCCTGCTCATCTTCCGCGGACTAGACTTCCGGAATTTTATGGAGATACTCTCAGATGGCCGGAGTTTTGGCAAGCTTTTGAGAGAACAGTGGATTGTTTAAATATCGATAACGGGCTCAAGGCCCACTACTTGATCCAGTGTCTTAGAGGAAAAGCCAAACGGGCAATTTTGGGCTATAGGCCAATATCAGAGCATTATGTACCTTTGAAAGATGCTCTTATAAGACAATTTGGGAACGAAAAGGCAATTAGAGATACGTTACATGCTGAACTAATTAGCTTACCCGTAGCTAATGAATCAATAGGATCTTTGCGTTCATACTTAGAGGAAGTTGAGCGTATTTGTAGATCGTTGACAGCTATGGGGTACTTGGAAGATGAGGCAATTGTAATTATGGCAATAAAAAATAAATTGCCGAGAAATATCGTTTTAGAACTTCTAAAGATGGAAAAAAGTGAGAAAAATGAATGGAACGTCGATAGACTGAGGCAAGGATTGGCCGATGTTGTGTCATTAAGGGAAGAGGCACAGCGATGCACCCAAAACTTAAATACGCGATCAGTTCAAAATCGCGGGATTATACAAGTTAATGGTGGTAACCAAAGAAATTTTAACAATAACCGTGTACAGGGGAGAAGATTTGACTCTGCTAGAGTATTTTCGTTACAGACACGGCAACGACAGCAAAGAAACGAGAATAGAAGTAATTTTAGATGTCTCTTTTGTCAAGATCAGCATTTAGCAGGAAATTGTACGCGGGTAAAATATATTCATGCTAGAATGCGAATGCTTTCAGAGCAAAATAGGTGCTTATTATGTCTGAAAAAGGGTCACGCAAAAATAGATTGTAGAAATAAAATTAGATGTAATGTTTGTAATGGGGATCATAATCGTATAATTTGTCCCAAACTTGTTGAAAAAGAGAGGAAAGGAGAAGATGAGGGTAAAAGTGAAGCAAGAGAGAAAAATATAACGAAAGCTAATGTACTTTCTGTTGAAAATAGAGGCAAGGATGAGGTATTATTGATGAAAGCTGATTTTAAAATTTGTGCGGATAACGCAATAACTTATTCAGCTACAGGTATTTTTGATTCAGGCTCAACAGTTAATTTTATTAGCGACGAAAAGATTAAAGAAATGCGTTTAAAAAAGATAAATAAGGCAGATTTGAATATTTACCCGTTTATGCAGAAACACCCAACACGTTTAGGTACAGCGTGTTATTTGGTTAAAATTTTAACAGATAGAGACGAAACGGAAGAAATTGTTGCTTATAAAATAAAAAAGAATTTAATGCCGAGTATAAAATATGCAGATATCACAACTGGAGAAATTAAAACATCAGAAATTGTCCCTGATATATTAATTTCCATAAAACACTTTTGGAGATTTTTCAATCAAGTAAAACATCTCTCGGACTATTTATTTAAAGTAGAGACGTCTGTAGGACCTATTATATGTGGAGAAATTATAAATAAAGACAAAAAGGAAATATCTCAAAATAAAAATTTGGTAGCTATTTTGGGATCAAAGGAAACGAAAGAGGGAGAGGATATGAATAATTTTTGGAATTTAGAAACGATAGGTGTAAGAGACGACCCTAGAAATAAAGATGATGAGGTTGCTATGAAATTTTTTGAAGACACGGTTAAAAGAAGTGAGCACGGTCGGTATATAGTCAAATGGCCGTGGAAGGTCGATAAAAGCAACTTGGCATCAAATTTTTCATTATCATATAAGAGATTTTTAAGTCTATTTGAAAAGTTAAAGAAAACACCGGAATTATTTGAAAAATATGATAATATAATAAGAGATGACGAAAAAAGAGGAGTGATAGAATTGGCAGAACGAAATAAGGATAATGTCGAACATTTCCTACCACACCATCCTGTTATCACTCCTAAAAAGATTCGAATAGTTTATGACGCATCAGCCCGAGTTAAAGGGGGTAAAAGTTTAAATGACCATTTATATCGTGGTCCTATAATTATGCCAGATCTAGCTGGTCTTCTAATACGTTTTCGAATACCAAAGATAGCGATGTGGTCGGATATCGAAAAAGCATTTCATGCTTTAGAATTGGACCCAGAAGATAGAGAAGTTGTTAAATTTATCTGGGTTAAGGACATTAGAGAGCCAATATCGTTGAAAAATATTCAATACTATAGATTTTCGAAAGTTCCCTTTGGAGTAATTTCGAGCCCATTCCTTCTTTCTGCGACAGTAAGCCATCATTTGGGATTAGTCGATGATCCAGTCGCTAAGATAGCAAAGAAGAATGCCTATGTTGATAATTTACTTATTGGTGTTGAAACGAAACAAGAGGGTTGGGATGCTTATATTCGTTTAAAAGAAATTTTTAAATCGGCAGATATGAATTTAAGAGAATTTATTACCAATAACGAACAGTTAAATTCATCGCTTCCCATCGAGGATAGATTAGAAAAAAGTGAGCCTAAAGTGTTGGGAATACCATGGAATATTAAAAATGATAAAATAATTGTAAAATTCCCTCTAATAAATTACGTGAAAATAACAAAAAGAAATGTACTCTGTCAGTTAGCAAGTATTTTTGATCCACTCGGTTTTGCGTCTCCAAGCTTGTTAGAAGCAAAATTATTCTTCCAGTCGTTATGGGAAAGTAAAAAAGAATGGGACGAAAATTTACGTGAAGAAGACGCTAAGGAATGGATAAATATAACCAAAGCTTGGGAAACCCATGACATTGAATTGGACAGAAGAATAATTCAATGTGGGTACAGATGCCAACTTCATGTATTCTCTGATGCATCTAAGAATGCTTACGCTGCTTGTGTTTATGTACTAACGAGAAATAATGACACCACAATGATCCATTTAGTTTATGCTCGAAACAGGCTAAGGCCAAAGAAAATGCCTATAAGTATACCAAGAATGGAACTATTAGGCGTAGTAATTGCAACACGAATAATTAAATTTGTAGAAAGACAAATAGGAATTGAAGTAAATGAAAAATACCTTTGGTGTGACTCAAAGTCAGTTCTTTATTGGATAAAAAACAATCAAGAAAAAGAAAAATTTGTACAAAATCGAATAAAAGAAATAAGAACTAATATTGATTTAAAATTTGGTTACGTTCCTACTGAAGGTAATCCGGCAGACATAGGGACTAGAGGCTGTACGCCATTGGAGTTACGATCAAATAAGCAGTGGTGGTATGGCCCTGTTTGGTTGGAGGGACCAAAGGAAAACTGGCCAAATGAACTTAATTTTCAAATCAATGAAGAGAAAAGTGAGAATGAGTTAGAGGAAAGAACGGCAGGAATCAATATTTGCGCTAATAATTTCAAGGATGAAAATTTTATTGAAATAAATGATTGGAGTAACTGGCTCAGATTAATAAGGTGTATAGCACGTGTTTCTAAAATAGCAAAAAATTGGTTAAATAGATGTAAAATTAAAATTACTAGTGAAATATTAACGAAAATAGACAAAGAAAATTCGATTAATGTTACTGATATGAGAGAAAGTGAAAAAATAATTTATAGAATGGTACAAAAATCTTTAATAAATTCAAAAAATAATAATATAAAATTAGTGAAAGATTCTGATGGTATATTACACTTACAGTCCAGAATTAATAATTGTGAAGCTGATGATGAGTTTAAACACCCTATAATACTTCCTAAAGGTAGCCCAGTTATTAAATTAATCATGAAGTATGAACACGAACGACTCTTACATTCTGGAGTTGATGCAACTCTTGGAGCATTCTTAACCAAGTTTTGGGCCCCTTGTAGTAGAAGGGATGCGAAAATTATCGTAAAGAGCTGTAAAAAATGCCAGAGAATAATTGGTCCAACATTTTCACTGCCTGAGATGCCAAATCATCCTAAAGAGAGAGTATGTATATCAAGACCGTTCAAATCTGTAGGCATAGATTATCTCGGTCCGTCGATATGTAAAATAGATGGGAATAAACAGAAATTCTGGATTGTTCTGTTTACATGCTTTACTACTAGAGCGATACATTTAGAAATTGCCTTCGAGTTAACAGCTCTAGCCTTCTTACATGCATTACGTAGATTTATAGCCCAAAGAGGAGTACCCGCAAAAATCATATCGGATAATGCAAATCAATTTAAGGTTGTTTCCAAGAGTATTGATGCAAAAATAGTTGGAAAATGGAGTCAAGATAAGCAACCAGAGAACAATAAATTTAATAATTTTATTATAAATCGTGGAATAGAGTGGAAATTCATACCGGCACTATCTCCTTGGCAAGGTGGTATATATGAAAGATTGGTCAAACTTGTGAAAGATTCCTTTAAAAAGACACTTGGTTGTGCAATTTTAAATGTTGAGGAATTAAAGACATTTATAAAGGAAGTAGAAATGGCAATAAATTCTAGGCCTTTAACTTATGTGTCGACTGAAAGTGAAGGATTTTCAGTTCTTAAACCTGTAGATTTCATAATACCCAATATTGATAATAATACACACTTAATCGAAGAAACAGAAGATTTAGATGAAGAATATAAAACAGGAAGATTAAGTGGAGCAGACCAACTGAGAGAAAAATGTAACACCCTTAGGAAAGCATTAGAACGGTTTTGGAATAGGTGGTCAAAAGAATACTTATTAGTTTTACGTGAAAAGTCAGGATGGACACACCAAAATCCGCGGACATCTATAAAAAGAGATCCAGCGATCGGAGAAGTCGTAGTAGTACAACAGGAAGGACAACCAAGAAATTCTTGGACTTTAGGAAAAATAATTGAGTTAGACGGGATACCCTCTCGAAGTGCAAAAATATTAATTGGAAATAAGAAATTAGTTAGACCCATAAATAAATTATTCCCTCTAGAGGTGAATGAAACAAGTGAACCAAACGACGAAAATAATGAAAAAGAAAAGGAAAAAGTTGAAATAAAAACTAAAAATAGAATCAATAATCAAACCGACAATACAAATAGAAACATAACTCCTCACCCTATGATAACAAGATCAAAAAAGGCTCTTTTATTGCAAATCGTGCAATTTTTATCAATATTCATTTTAGTATTAACACAAGAAAGAGGACCAATAAGGAGTTGTAGAGGTTGTAAACTTATATGTAAAGATTATGGAATTAAAGTTATTGGATTACCCGAAACAAAGAAAATAGAAATTTGTTGTATGGGTAGCTGCTTACTAGAAACAAACTCAATTAATATACTTAAATTTTCACTCCCAAAAGATGTTACCCCACTGGAATATAAATGCCAAGTGACATTTTGGGACAGATGGAGGAAATATAGAGACCGAATAACTTGTCCACCAGTTGATCCATGTAAAAGAGTTGAGGGATTTTTTGAAAGAATTACAAATCCTCAATGTGAATCTTTTGAAACTTTAATCTTAATTGGTACATTTACTGGAATTATTTTGAGTATTTCAGTTGGATTATTAATGTTTTTGTGTAAATTATTTGTTATATTCGGATGGTTGACACATTCTATTTGGAAAATAATAAAAACAATATTCAGAGTTTTTAAAGGAAAGGGAGAGACTAAAGTACATGAATCGAGTAAAAATTTAATTGGTAAATCAAAAACAGGTGCAAGGAATAGTAAGAAAATAAAAAGAAACAGACGTTTACACAAACTTGGAATAATTGGATTAATACTTTTCGAACTCATTGGTTCAATTATATGTGAGATAGAAGTAGTTTCGATACAAGCGAAATCAGAAGACTGTCAGAGGAAAGCTGGTAGCTATTCTTGTAAGATAAATACTGTTAATACATTAACTATGCTTCCTGACGGTCAAGTTATTTCATTATCGATTAAGAATGAAAAAGGAATGCTTATGGGAGAATTAGAGTTTTCAATGCCCGGTTTATCAATCCAATGTAATCAAAAAACTATAAAACATCTGCGTTCATATGAAATAAAGATAGGATCAGTAAAACGTTGTCCGGCTGACGGAAGCTGCAAAGCGGGTCGTTGTATACATATAAGAAGAAAAGAGAAAGTACCCGAATTAAACGAATGGTCAAATAATCCTGGAAATGCATATTGTATAGAAGGGCAGTCTCTTTGGTCCTATCAATGTGGATTACCCGGATCTGCCTGTTATTTTTATCAAGTATATGCGATTAAAAAATCAGATAAAATATTCGAATTAGTATCATGTCCGACATGGGATTATCTAATAGATTTAGACGTTGGTCTTATGCTTAATGGAAATCTGACAAAAAATAAATTTTCTTTATTTCCGGGAATGACATTCCATTGGAAAAATATAAAATTTACACTTGTAGACTTAATTGCGCCAATGGCACCAATTTTGAATAATAAATTCCTAGTAAGTGATGACGGTGTTGCACTAACCGAAAATTTTGAAACCGCACTTGAATGTGGAATTAACGCAGACAATTTTTCTTCGTGTGTACTAAATTCAAATGCCTGTGGCGAATGTTGGCTAAATCACGAGGAAGAAAGAATAGATTGTGCGTGCAATGATTTATCACTAGAAGAAATAATGAAAAATCCTAAAAGAGCACTTCCCCTCGATATTAAAAGAATAAAACTTAGAAATAACGGAAGAAAAATCTTTAGTGAATCAAGTTATCTTCCAGTTCAGCTTATGCTTCGAATGGAGAATTGGAGTATCGCAGCAAATATGGATATTTCTATGTGTCATATAACACCAATTAAGTTGATGGGCTGTTATAACTGTTTAGGCGCCGCATTTAAATTCACCTGTAAATCAGATTTTGGCAATCCTTTAGCCGAGATTAAATGCGAGAGTGGTAATGTTTTCACAGGAAAATGCTCAGCTAAAGGCATAAATCAAACGGTAGCCTTATCGTTTAACAAAGCACTAATAAACGAGAATTGTAACGTAGAATGCCCGGCAGGCATAACTAATTTTACACTTACTGGTACACTTGAATTCATTCTTCCAGAAAAGAATAAATTAATTATAAAAAATGGAGATGTAAAAATTTTAGAAAAAGATAGTATTTTCGATATTTCTAATATCCAACTTATTGATATGAACGGAATCTTATGGGAGTTATTAAATCTCAAAATTATTGGCATATGCCTTATAGTACTTTTCTCGATCTTTATCGCTATAAAATTATTTTTAAAGTATAGTCCTTTCTTCAAAGCATATAGATTGATTGTTACAATATTATTAATCATTTCTTTGGCGGGAGGGCCGCATTATACAATGGCGGAAAGAAAAGAACACCGCCTTTTGGCAAAAAGATATGACCGACTCCTCTCGAGAATAGAAAGTAGGAGGGAAATAATGATTCAAATTGATAGCCAAATTCTCTTTATAATAAACGAAAAAATGAGAAGAAGCTCATTCTCAAATAATTTTAAACAAAAATATTCACCAAAAATGTCTATAATTTCTTTAGCTAAATTCGCTTCTGAATTATTTGATTGTAGAGAAGAATTGGCAATTTGGCGTATACATTCTTCACCATTTGATCGTAAACGCCTAGAGCGAGCTTTAATCGAGGTAGAAAATAATGGAGGGTGGATAAAAGCCTGGGGTAACGGCCCACTTGAGATTAGTAATTGGCTTTTTGTAACCATCCAAAAGAATTGGGCAATAGTTTGTGATAAACCTGAGGAGGCCGTGGTCCCCTCAGGCATGAAAAAGTCCTGGTGGTCTGGAAGTTGTACCCAGACTTTTGAAGAATTAAAAGATTATCTAACGGAGGATGAGGATGGGGACACAATAGTAGGTCCGGGAATCCTCCGTGAAGATAACGTTCGGGAAACAAGTGAATTCTTTCCCTACTCTAGTATTTTTATTGAGGAAAATAAAGCTGAAGAAGAGGACAATTATTACCCGAGGGTCGTAGAAGAATTACCTTGGTTTGAAGTCCAGGCCGAGGCACCGGGTGAAGAAAGTGGCACGGTAAAAGGAATCGTTGCTGATTTGGAAATACCCGAGGGAATAATCGAAGAGTTAAAATTTGAATATTTTAAGGGAAAGAAAGCTAATGCACGAGCCGTTGTACGACCAGAAAAGCACTTTGATGTGCATGGTCGTGAAGTAGCTAATATAGAAGTGAAATTCAATTTACGTTTCAAAATGACTGGTATTGGAATGCTCATGTTTTTACTTATTATTGGAGTAGCTAAAGCAATACCGGAAAAAGATGGCCCATTAGATGAATCTGAAATTTGGGACAAATACATAGATAATGATAATGAAGAACGTGAGAGTGCTAAAGCAGGTTCCGTTTTATTAAGTAGAACAAATAATGTAAATCAAGGTTTAGTTAGTGCAACCTTGTCCGACGAGCAAATGCGTTCTCAAATTGAAGCAATTGTTCAAGATTTAATTAAAAAACCATCTACTTCTTCAAATCCTTTATTTAATTCTGTTACTTCTAATAATTCTAATTTGTTAACTACCCAACAAAACGTATACCAACAATTACCTGATTATCAAATCCAGCAAAATCAATCCACATCACAGCCAATATATCAAGGTCACTTTAATGCTCCACAACTTTCAATTCCAATGGGACAACAACATCATAATATTAGACAAGATTTAAGAAGAAACGCCGGAGGCGTAATAAGAAATCGTCGCCGCTGTTTTAATTGTTTAAATATTGGCCATTTGGCAAAAAATTGCTCTCAACAAGTAAATACTGCAGCAATTCCACCATCACCACATACAAATAGAAATTCAACAAATAGAAATTCTAATTCTCTTCAAGGCACAGCAATAGAACTACGTAATTTGGGCAATCGTAGTAACAACGAATTAGTAGCACAACTACTCTGGGCCCTGGCTCGACTTCTTGTTAACCATAGTGATGGGTCCACTTTTTCTTGAGGCGCAGTGTCATCAAAGATGACGAGAATTTAAAAATAAAGAATATTTAAAATATAAATTTAAAAATGATGAATCATTTAGCCAAATAAAAGAAAAGAATTTTAAAGAAAATATTCAGTTTTTCACTTTTTTCACTCCTTTCGCCTTTTCTAGTTTTTTCGCTTCTTCCTAAACATTAATAAATATTTTTCTCTGGAAATAAATAAATAGATAAAAATAGATTTGGAAAGTTGGAGTTTGAAATATTTGAAATTTAAGTTAGAATTTAGAAGTTTAAATTTAAATTGATTGCCCTACAAGAAGTAGGAAGGTGTTAAAATATCTTAGTGCTGATATTTTTTCACAGTTGTAACAGGCACAAGAAAGTTGAGTTTTGAATTATGAAGAAGCAATGTGTTGTATGAAAATGTTTAGAAAATGGGTGGTTTTTATATTAAAATTTTTTGTTTCAACTTTGTTAGAATAAACGAATATCAATCACTCAGATATATGTAAATTCTCAATAATTTTCCATTGCTTCTCTCTTATCTTGTTACTGTATTTGGTATCAAAATCGAGTTTTTCAAAATATGTATAGATATCAAATCTCGATCAAGTCTCATAATTGTCGGGACAACTTAAATGGTGGGTACGAGAAAATAAGTGAGTAGTATCTGGTTCTGGGTATTAATAGAAAATTGAAGAAGTTATCCTCTATTTCTTTCGTCTCCCTTTCAGGAGCGATTGGTTGTGTGGTTAAGTTGATGGACTTCAATCAGGTTTTTTGATTTCAAGTTGGGTTCGATTCCTAATCTGAGAAACAGATTTCATTTATAACCTTCTCTCTATGAATAGAATCTGAAATTTCCAATTACTGTAGGGATTATACAAGAAGAGTAGAACGAGATGAGTTTCCCAAAATTGGGCAGAGTTTTGGTTGTTAATCTCGCCGATAATCAGAATGATTCTAATCCCTAGTTGAGTTCGATTTACTTAATCCATTTTATTTTAACCAGTCCTCAAATTTAAATTAATTTGATCATTTTGAGAAAAACGGATATATCCGCGGATACCCGTGGATGGATATGCCTAAAAAGTTACACGGATATAACAGATACGGATATAGACTTCTATATGGATACGGATGTATGTCCATGTCCTACTCTGATAAAATATATTTACATATTCATCAATTTTTATTTTTTTAAAAAAATTTCCAGAAAAGCTAAAATTTAAAAAATATATTTCTTAAAGTAATTTAATCTTTTTTCTATAAATAAATTAATTAAAAATAAATTTAGCCAAATTCAAAAAAAGCTCAATACTTCTCTTTTTTCATTTTCACCTTTTGTTTTATATTGATTTTATTTTTTTTTCATTAAATTGATATCTTTTCACGTCAACTCTCTGATCATCCCCCCTTCTCTCTTGGCTATATCCTAGCTTATTCTTTTGGGCTGTTATGGCGTAGGTTGTTTTGGGCGCTTATAAAAAGAGAAAATTTGTATGAGAGAATTTATAAGTAAAATAAAATAAAAATTCTTAACTATTTTTTCAAAAAAATTTTTTTTGATTTTTTAAAAACATTTTAAAAATTTTAATCCGGAAAACTCTAAAAATACCGTAATATTTTTTAGAATAATCAAATGACCAAAATTTTTTTTAATTACCTAATTCAGAATTTTCTAGTTAACAAAATGAAGGAAATCCTTGCAAACTTCCTCCATTCTGAATAAAAGCATCCTCAATCTTTTATTCCCCTACCTACCTTAACTTCCCAACGTCCTAACATCCCCCCAATTCCTATCATTTTACCTTAAATTTTTTTGCTTTTTCTTCCCAATAAAATTCCTCTGATTTCAGCCACTCTCAATCCCAGCTGTACCCCTTCATTCATTCATTCTCTCTTTCATTTTATTTTATTCAACCTTAAAATCTGCCCCAGAATTCTTCTGAATGAGAGAGAGAAGCAGGCGCTCTCTCTCAAAATACTATCAAAATATCTTCTTCTATTGTGTGCCTTTTTGCCTGTTCTGTCCGGTTATTTTAAAAACTTTTTTTTTCTTTTTTAAATAAATATATTTATTTATTATTAGTTGACGCTATGGCCAGTTGCCTTTTCTTAAAACATTCATTTTCATAGTTTTATTTCCTCTAAAAGATATTTATGTAATTCTGATCAAATAAAAGTGAGAGAGAGAGAAAAGAAGGGAAGGGGGATTTTGACGGAAAATCAATTGTTCCTAAAAAATTTTTTTTTATTTCACAAATCCGTTTTTGAAAAGACGGGAGAGTGGATATATAGATTTGTGTTTAAATATCTAAAATAAAATTCTGTTGCCAAGAACACCTTTTTTTTTAAAAAATTATTTTTTTTTTAAATAAAACTTAAGATTTACCTATTTTATTAATTGTGTTTTAAGCTTAAGAGTTTAAAAATCAAATATTTATTGAAACATAAATAGAAACATTCTATTTTTGATATATTAAGAATTGTTTTTAAATTTTGATAAAATAAAAAGATATATCAAATTAATAATTATTTTTAATAAATTTAAAAAGAATTTTTAGAAATATTTTTTTAATATATATTTATATGTATAACTCTCAAAAAATAAACTTTCTATTTTTAAAAATCTCTGTTTTTCAATTAATTTGTCTTCATTTTTACAAAAATGATACATTTAAATTTTTACTTCTTCTCAGTACGGTATGAGAGAAAAATAATTAAAATCAAATAAAAACTCAGTTCGTAATTTCCTTGTATAGATTCTCGAGTTAGAACAGACTTGGTATTATGTTGAGGTTATCCGGACAGCCTTGATATTCTATCCAAAAAATCTTTACATAATTTTCACAAACAAAGAAATATTTTAAAGAAAATCTCCAAAAGGGCAATAAGAGGGTTGTTAGAATTATTAGGGTTATTATTATTTATTTACCCCCTTCCACCCATTTTAAAGGGCACTCTTTTATTAATTAATTTTATTAATTCTGCTTTATTCTTCAAAATACAATCTTTTCTCTATTCAATCAAGAATTTTTCTTTTCATATAAAAATATTTTTAAAGATTTTTTTCTTAAATTTTATGGAAGAGACCCCTTCAAATTCAAATAAAAAATCAGAAAAAACATTACAGGAAGAGAAAGAAAACGATGCCAATTCTTCAAGTATTTCATTAACAGAAACAACAAAAAGTCAATTTACAGGGGAAAATAAAAATATTTTTGTTGATAATCTGGCAATAAATAAACAACAAATTAAAAAGGACTTTGAACATTCTAATATAAATACTCGAATAAACAATAAATTTAAAGGAATGGCTGGTTAGTTATTTAGGGAGATCTCTCCAAAGATTAATCAACTATAGGATTGTTGTCGGTTCTTGAAAAATATCGGGATATCCGAAAAAGAACCGGAAATTCTTGAGGGAGAACAGTATTTTTAAATTTCGCTTCGACGAAATTTAAATTTTATTACATTAGTCCTGCAAGAGAAATCTTTTGGAATTTCAGACAGTACACATTCATTCCTTGTAAAAAACAGGGGTTCTCTAAATCGTAAAGTTATTGGAACTCAAAAACTTATTAAAAATAAAATAATAAAGAAAATTAATTTTAGAAAAATCAGAAGGAGAAGCATCTCAACAGAAAAACAACAATACTAATTCATTAAAATCACCCCCACAACCTCCACCAAAAACAAATGTTCTCAGCAAATTCCCTTGGAAGAGACAACAACAACCACTTGTTGTTATCCCCAAAAGGCGCAAACATAAAAATCATATTTCTAAACGTAAAGGAAATCGTGGGGGAGTATTAGGTAAACATAATCTTCGCCATTGAGTAGACAGTTTAGATGCGGCCTTAAGGGATTTTTGAACCCATTAGTACGTTTCACGAATTTTCCCTACCTTCCTTGCTTATCGTTAGTTCGGTCCTAATTAGGTCGGTCCTTTAATTAAGTCTATAGTTAATTCTGGTTGTGATATGTTAGCAACAAATAGGTAATTTAATTTTAAAATTATTAAAAGGGTCTTCAATGCGAAATTGTGTTTCCGACCCACAACTTTACCGCGGATTTAATCATTGGTATTCTCTTTGTGTTGAAAACCTTAAATCTGTTTCTATTCGACAAAATGAATTTTCAAAGAAAAATAATTCTTCTTCTTTGGGAAGTTCTAAAAAATCTACAGAAGAATATAAAAATCGAATAGAACAATTGGATGTTGCTGCAGCTAAATTACTTGCTGTAGCTGAAAATTTTGAAGAAGATGAAAGACGTTTAATGGCTGCTTCAGCTTCTGAACGTTTAGAAGCTATGGGGATTCCTTCTCCAAATATTGGAGAACAAAGGAAAAATCGACAAGAAACGGAGGAATTTAAATCTAAACAGATTCTTAGCCCAACATTTAGGTATTTAATTAATTAAAAATAAATCGACAAATTCCCCAAAATTTATCTGAGAATTTACTAGATCCCCAAAACCAAGTCCTGCCCCATAAAATTTCCTCTGCAGGAATAACCTTACAATCTATTGTGACTTTAAATTTAATAAAAATTTCAACGCCAAATTCGGATATCCGAAGATCTCTCAGGATCCTTCACGCTATTGTTAGGCCCTGGAAAATTTCATTAACCTAAATTACTTTACAAGAAAATTTTTTGTTAATTAATAGAAAGAAAAGTATCAACAACAACAACACCCAACAACAACAACCTTTAACTGTCCAACCCTCATCTCTAGCTAAAGGAAAATCGATAAGATTAGCTCAGGAGAGATTAGCATTCGCTGCAGGGGGTCGTCAACACACAACTGGAGGGATATCTAGAAATTCCAATATTGGAAAGATTGGAGTTATTCCTTCTCTAGACATAACTACATGTTCACCATCAACATCTACAGCAGCTACAACAGTCTCTTCCCCAAAAGAAAATCAAAAAAAGATTTTGGCCACTCCAATAGAAGGAATTGAACAAATAAATTCTCCTCAAAATCCTTCAAATTTAGAAGGAGAAAATTCTGGAGGAAATTTAGAAAGGAAAATTTCTGGAAGAAGAAAAAGACTTGAAGATTTGGCAAAAATAAAAGAAGAATTAAGAAATACAAAATTACCTTCAATTTCTAATAATTTGAAGAAGAAAAAAGAGAGAGAACAAAAACAAGAGGAATTGGAAGATGCTCAAGCAAAGAGTACTGTCGATGCTGTGTCAGCAGCATTTCATACAACAATTACTGATGGTTAGTTTTTGGAATAGTAAAGATATTTGAGATTTTCTAGACTTGTAGTCTACAATTAAAAAAATAATAGTTGAATTAAAGTTTAATCTACAGTGGCGGAAATTTACTTAAGACCGATTGAATTTCAAGCTTTAACCTTACTTTTCTCTCGCGCTTTATAAAAATATAAAATAGCTATTCAACAGCCAAAATAGCCAAGAGACTATTTCATATTTTTAAAAGTGCAAAAGAAAAGTAAGGATAGATTATAATTACAGAAAAATTATTATTAATTATTAACTTCTCAAGTAGCACAAACATCAACGGCTCGATTACCAACTACAACAACAACCACTAATGTATATGCTGCAAAACCACCAGCTTCCCCTTCATTGCTAGCTCGGCGAGAATTGAACAGACTAGCTAATAGGCGAGATCCGGATGATTCAAAATCATCAAAGACAGCAACAGAAGAAGCACAAAAACAACAACTTTTATCCCCAACTTTACATACTCGAAAACTTAGCGGGCGTTTTCGTGCCGGAAATGTTACTCAAAATATTACAGCTTCAACAACCCCTTCACATATTCCTTTGGTTGCTGTCCCTATTGATCAACAAATTGATGATGTCCAACAACAACAACAACAACAACCTTCCTCATCCCCTTTGACTACTCCTAAATTTAGACAGCCTCCTGAACACCGCGCAGCTAGGAGTGGATTGGCTAAAACACTTAGCCTTTTTGCTTCTATTGAAGATAAAAATGAAAGTAGTCAAAAGAGTGTTAGTGGGAATACTGAAGGAGAGACTGGGACTTCAACAACTGATGCTGCTAATACTTCAGATAATTCTGAAAGAAGAGAGGAGCATTCACAAGCACCTCCTCCTTCATCTCATAAATTATCTCAGGCAAAATTTTTCTATTTTGTAACCGAAAATAGTAGACCTGTGATTAAAGATAAATTAGTATATGTAACTTTATTTAAAATTTTAGAGTAAACCACTCGATTTTAAAGCAACAGTACAACTCGAAAATTATTCTACACAAGCTGATAAAAATGAAGATGTAAAGAAAGAAAAAGGAGAGGAAGGGAAAGACGAGGAGGAGGATGATGATGACGATGAAAGCTACGAGACTCCAGGGGAGTCGACTACTGAAGCTAAAGTTCCTGTTTTGAACCTGTCACGTCATCAAAGGTAACGAACTCAAATATTTTTAAATTTTTACTTTCATTTTACACAACAGGCCCCATTCTGGACTTATTCAAAATCCACCAATTCCACCCCCTCCCTATCCCGGTCCAAAAATACAACAACAAAAATCAACAGCCCCAACAAATGCTCTAATAGCTTCATTACAATTACCTCCATCTGTTTGCGCTAAAGTTGATAAAATAATTGCTGGTGGGGGAAGTGGTACTGTAAAGAAAGGAGTGAGTTTGTTATAAATTAATGATTAAATCTAGGGGATGTGGATTTAAATAATTATTTTTAGGGGAAGAATATTTAAGAGATAAATTCTCTAAATTTTTAGTTAAATCAAACAGTCAGAAAAAGTAATTGGAATGACAGTCCAGGAAGTCGCCCAATTCAAGACGACAAAGAAGGGCATTTGCTTTATCATAATGGACAAATAATTGATAATAGATGTATAAATAAATATATTTTAAATTAAATAGAAAAAAAACAAAAATTTAGTTGAAATAGTCAAAACTTTGGGAGAAGGAACTTTTGGGAAAGTTGTGCAAGTTAAAGATCTCAGAATTGGAAGAAAATCTTCTTCAACACCAAAAGCTTTAAAAATAATTAAAAATGTTTCAAAATATAGAGAAGCTGCTCGTTTAGAAATTAATGTTTTGAGAAAATTAAAAGAAAAAGATCCTGATAGTCGACATTTGGTTATTCAATTACTTGACAGTTTTGATTATTTTGGACATGTTTGTTATTTTTTTAATTAAAGAATAATATCTAATTCTGAAAAAATTTAAAGAAAAAATAATTTTATTTTCAAAATAAACTTTAATTGAGTAAAAAAAATATATTCGTGATTTTGGAAATCTGGAATTGAGAGCTTAGAATTTCTAATACATACCTAAACTAGAAAATCTTTGAATTAATCTAAATTATTCTAGATATGTCTGTTATTTGATTTGCTAGGATTAAGTGTCTTCGATTTTATGGTTTGTTTAGTAATTTTGATTTTACTTAAAAATATTTAAATTAAAAATCATACCGAGACGTGTTTATCGAAATTTTCGAGATTCCAATCTGAATCCTTTAGTTATATATTTTTAATTTAATTCAACCGAAGTTCGGATCCGTAATTTGGTGGGTTATTCGTGTCCGGATTAACTGACTCAGATTTGGCGGGAAAAGACATTTTTAAAAATTTATTTCCATATTTTGCAATAATTAATTTATATTAAATCTTAATTATTAAGAAATCGAATGATTACAGACCCTACCCTCTGGATCAAGCAAGATATATCGCTTATCAGGTATTTATTTAAAAAGAATATTTTTAAATTTTATTTCAAAATTATTTTAAAGTTAATACACGCAGTTAAATTTTTGCACGAAAATCGTTTAACTCACACTGATTTGAAGCCAGAAAATATACTTTTTGTATGTAGTGATTATGTTACTGTGCCACAGGGTAATTCTGATGAAGGAAGAAGACGGAAACCTATGCGAGTTGTTAAGGTGGGGGGTTTTTTGGAGTTTTTAGGATTATAAAACAAAAATTATTGCTATGAGGGTTTTATAAAATTAATAAAGAATTAATTTGTTGATTTTAAGTATTTTAATTAAAAATTAAATATATCAAAAATTTAAATAAAAAGCTAAATATTGTGTTGGCCCGATATTGCAAAATAAAACTAAAATAGAAAAGTAAAAAAGCTCATTTTTGATATTTTACAAATGGTTCAGAAATGCTTTTATTTAATATTAATTGATCTTACACCTTAAATCCAGTACTATCACCCCGCGGCAAATATTGTGTTGCCAAAATTTCCAAAAATTCATTACTTCATTTAATCTTTTTCTTTTAATTGAAAGGATGCAACAGTCCGTTTAATTGATTTGGGTTCAGCCACCTTTGATCACGAGCATCATTCAACTATTGTCTCTACTAGACATTATCGGGCTCCAGAAGTTATTTTGGGTAATAAATATTTTTGGAAATTATTTTTTAATTTAAAAAAGAACTTGGATGGTCACAACCTTGTGATGTTTGGTCTATTGGATGTATTATGTTTGAACTATACACGGGACAGACTTTATTTCAAACACACGATAATCGAGAACATTTGGCAATGATGGAAAGAATTTTAGAAAATATACCTTACAGAATGGGAAGGAAAACTAAGTAAAAATTAAAAAAAAAACCTTTTAATTTTTACCTTAACATTAAATATATTCCCAATTAATTATCAACACATAATAAGAAATCTAAATAAACCAATAAACAAAAAAGTTAACACAAATAATCTTTATTCAAAAATAAGAGGGTTATCGGTTCGGAACCGAACGGAAGAACCTAAGATTTTTCGGTTTAGTTCCGAATATCTGAAAATTTTCCATGAACGGGCAACCCTATTCACAAAATAAAATTATTTCTCTTTGACTTCAAACTTCCCAATCAGAAATAAAAATAATTTAAAAAAATTTTTTTCTGATCTTAGATAAAAAACAGAAAATATTTTTCTTTTAGAACCAAATATTTCTACCACGGTCGATTAGATTGGAATGAAAGAACATCAGCGGGGCAATATGTACGGGATAATTGCAAACCTTTAATGGTAACAGATTTTATTTAAAAATTTTAATTTTCTAAAAATTATTTCAAAAAATTAAGCGTTATATGCAATCAAATAACGAGGAACACCAACAACTTTTTAATCTTATTGACCGAATGTAAGGGTCTTTTTTGGATTTATAAAATTAAAAAAAATCTTTTTAGGTTAGATTACGAACCAAGTTCTCGAATAGTTTTGGCTGAGGCACTCAGACATTCATATTTTGACCGTTTGGATTCAAACCTTAGAGCACGTGTTGATGGGGTAAAAATTAATAATGGAGAAGGGCAAAATGGGGTTGGAGGGAGAATTGTTTAAAAACTAAAATTATTTTTATTTAAACTTTCTTAATGTTAATGAAGCCTTAAATTCTCATAATAATTTTTTAAATTAACGGTGAAGATGGCAGGTCAGTCGGAATTTCGATTCTTGGCAGTTCCAATTTCGGCACTTTCATTATTAGAGATCGGACAAACGGCAAAATCAAATATCAAATCAAACTATTTGATATTTGAAAGTATTTGAAAAAATTTGATTTTTTCCAAAAGTGGTCAAACAAATATTTGATCAAATAATTTGATTTTCCAACGTCAAATATTTGTTTGGTCCGATCTCTATTCATTATTTCCGACCGACCCCTGGTAAAGATTTACATGATATTGTTTAATTGTTTATATTTTTAATTTTGTAAAACATTTCCTCCTCATATTGAGTATATGTCCTTTCAATTAAGGTTGGAACTTTATTAAAGACCTTATAAATTTTACAGAAATAAATAGTTAATTAAATACTTTTTTTTCAATTTATAAGGTCTTTTTCAAGTCAATTTTTGCCTTTCTTTAAAATAAAAACCAAAAAAGATTCTATGTACTACTTTGTTTCTGCCATATTTTTAATTCAATTTATGGGTGTTCTCTTTTTTTTTGTTTTTTTTGTCTTTTAAAGAAAATTCTGCTCAATTTTATTGCCTATATTTGCTCAAAACCTTTACACCCAGATTCCCGCGTGTCAATATTTTCATTAAATTTTGTTAGATATTTCTTACATTTATTTTTAATTTTGCCTTAAAACTTTTTGTTAGTCTTTTTCTCTTTAAAAATATGATATTTTTATAAATTTGCATAAAATTGCCAATTTATTTATGTCTATAAAATAAAACATCAAGTGAAGAACGAAGTTTCCTAAGATTTCGTTATTAATAAAAAATCTTGAAATAATGAAGGGATTGAAAGGTTGAGCTCCGGCTCCTGCTCTAGGAATTTCAAATTATTGGCACCATCCGGAGTCAACTCCGAGAGCCATACCCACCACTGATTGTAATACATACATACATATTTATTCACAATATTTATCGATGATTAAAATTAAATTTTATTTAATACGCCAAATTAATTCCCTGACATATTCTTGATCATTTTAGAAAATCAATTCTCATTTAATAAATAAAAAGAATTTTGCAAGACGTTTTTGCTATTTGTTGAGGACATGCAAAACAATAAAATGAAAAATTTTTTTTTAATTTTTCCTGTTTAAATTTAAAAATTATATTTCAAAGTTTTTATTTTTTCTTGAATATACAAATTCAATGAATAAATTTTTTTTCATTTTAAACATGTATAAAAGCCTTTTTTCAATTTTTTTTCCGCAATAATTTAAAATTTAAATTAAAAAATGAAAATAATTATTTTCTTTTTGCTAATTTTTTGTAAAGTTAATTTAATTAATTTAAAACCTTTATTTCCTATACAAAATAAGAGTTCCTTAAATATGATTACAATGTTAAAATGCCAAATCTATGATAGTGGGAGATGGTCTTTCCTGCAAGCAATTTCAATGGTTAATTACGGCTGCTAGTAAGTAAATAAAAATTTAGAAAATCGAAAATTTAAAATTTATTTTGAAATGTTATAAATAAAATATAAAGCTATAGATTTAAGTTTAATTTCAACATTTCTCACTAAAGTTTGAAAACATAAATTTTAAAATAGTTGTGGAATTGGAAGATGCGGATTATATGAAGCTATAGACGAATTTGACAGGTAAAAAAGTAATATACTATACTATCTATAGGTAGGTACTACATACTATCTATAGGTAGGCTTATCCGTTGAGAATTTTACTTTTGCCCCCATTTCTCAACAACGGATTCGATGAAAATAGACCTATCTAGCCATTTTCTGTATAAGAGGTGTTGTGCAGTGCTGGGTATGGCTCCGGGAGCTAGCTCCGGAGCCCGGCTCCGGAGCCGGCTCCGGCGGAGCCGGAGCCGGAGCTAAGATTTTGAAAACCCCGGAGCCGGAGCCGGAGCCAAGATTTTGAAACCCCGGAGCCCGGAGCCGGAGCCGGAGCCAACAAATGGCAAATACCCAGCACTGGTGTTGTGTAAGTTAAATCTAAATTTATATTTTTTCAATCAAAAGATGTTGTGAAATTCATGATAAATGCTACAGAGAGTACGATACGAGATGGGCATCACAATGTGGTTGGACCTGGTTTGATAGATCTCCATATACAGAAGCTTATTCTTATGAGTGTGATGAAAGCACTGGATATATAACTTCTTGTTCAACGGAAAATGCTCCGTGTGAACAATTTTTGTGTGAATGTGATAAGTTGGTTTTAATTAAATTAAAACATTAAGAATCAAAAAAGTTCGTTCTAAGAAATTTTGAAAATTTTAACAAAAAATTCACAAATTTTAGAGCCTTGGGAGACTGCTGGACTAAACAAATAGATTTAGATCAATATCAAAATTTCACTACTTGAGTGTAATAATTGAATGTTTTATTCTTCAATAAATTGTATTCAATTATGGATTTAATTTTGAATAAAGATTTAGAATATAATTCTAATACTTGAGAATATTTTATGTAGTAGTGTCGTGAATCAGTTCTAATAAATTGTGTCTAAATAATAATTAAATTATAAAATTTGGAAAATCTAAAAATTTGTATTATTTGTTAACTAAATATTAGTAAAATTGTGGTGCGATTGACATTAAATTAAGCATAATGTCAATGATAAAAAGGCAATATAAAGTGAGTTGATTTGCTAATAATAATCCAAAAAATAATATAAAATGTGAATAGAATTATGGGAATCAAACGCGAAAAACTAAAATGGCAGAAACATATTATTGGAAATAACTATTTTTTTCGAAATTAAAAATATATTTTAGCATTCATTTAAGAAATGTCCCAACTCAGGTAATGAGTGAATTAATTTATCAATTTTCTTTTTAATTTTAATATTTTTTTTCACTCTTAATTTTATCTTTTATTAATTTAAATTAATTAAAAACTTGTTCCTATTATTATTTTTTATTATTTTTTTTTATTTTCTTTAATTTTTTTAAAATTTTTACGAGTAAATCCCGGTCATTTTAAAGTGATGGATTGAATATATAATAAAATGTCGGCAAAAGCAGACAAAAATAAAAGTAAATAAAGTACAAATATATTCTTTATTTTTTAATTAAAAGCGGCTAATAGATAAAAGAAAACACGTTCGGTAATAAATATTATTTTTTATTTTCATTAATTAAATCAACTAAATTTGTGGTAAATTTTATTTTTAAATGTTGCTATATTAAGGAGAAAAAGTCACGTGTTTGGTAGATAAAATTGAATTTTGTTACAAATTGAAAATTTTTGAATGGGAAGGAATCTTATGTCCTTCAAATCCTTTTAAATCCATAATCGAGAAATGCGAAATTAAAAAAAATCTAAAAATGCCCTAGTACATCCAAAAAACGTTATTTTTTCATTAATTATTGTTTTTTCAGATAGTTTACTTAAAAAAATAAATTTCAGAAAGTTAGGTAAATATAATTTTTATCTTTTTTTTGTAACAAATGAATGTTGCTTCAAAAACAAAATAAAACAAAAATTACATTTTTGGCGATTTTTACTATTTATTGGTTAATTAATTTATCTAATCAAGAGGAATCTAAAAATTTACCTAAAGTTACCATTTTGAAAATGAGCACTGAGGAGGGATTTCAGGTATGGGAGGGGGGCTGGATAAGGAAAATATAGGATAATGGAAGGGCTGGGTGATGATAATTTTTAATACTTTAGATGTACGAGCAATGGATAAACAAAGCTTTTGCTTCATTATTATCAGCATTTTTACAGTCAAAGTATTTAAAAATAAAATTTATTTTTAATTAAAAAATTAATTTTTACAGAATAAATTCAAAAGAATTACCCCAAAAATTGCCAGAAAATTTCTCCAAATGTTTTTTAAAAACAGAATCTATACCTTCAATGACTAAATGTATTTCACAATTATTAGAAGGAAAATTTAATGAAAACAATAAAATTTATACAAAACGTTTACAACGATATTTATTTGATAAAGGGAAAGATATGGGAAGGATAAATAAAATAAAAACGAGAAAAGAAGAATCTACTTTTAATGATATTTATGAGGGGAAGAATGATGGTATACAAAAATTTTGAAATTAATTAAAATTAGAAGTATTTATTAGAAAATACTAGTCGTTATAATATTTTCTTACAATGAATTTTATTCTCGAGTCATTAACAGTGTTTGGGAGCTCGTAGCAAAATTCGTACTTGTACTTGTACCTGTTTACGGAGTACGAGTACGACAAAATAAAATAGGCCAAGTACTGGTATGGGTAAGAGAAAATACGAATTCGAGTAAATTTTAAAATTCCAAACACTGGCCATTAATTCTAAATTATTATTTTAAAATCATCAAATTTTTTAATAAAAAATAAGTTAATAAAATAACTCGGAGAGGGAAAATTTTGAGCGAATTTTAGCTAAATATAATTTTAAGAAATTTGGAACTCAGAAATTTTTAAAAAATAGGGAAGATATTGGAAATAATTAAAATCCAAAAAATCTTCCATTTATTAATCTACTTAAATAATTTATTTTCCTCAGACAGTTCTCCGAATATTAAAGTAAAAAAGTGTATAAATTATAAACTGAGTGAATCAAAGAGAACACATGGTTTAAGCCCTGTTGGAGGATTGGCACGTATTTTAATGGCAAATTTTGTAAAACGAAATAATCGAGGAGAGATTAAAAAGTAGGTTTATAAAGTTTATACTATTTAAATTGATGGGTAAGGTGTTTTGGAGAGGAGTTGGGGAATTGGGAGTGAAATTATAACCGATGTACTAATTTAAATATTAATTCTAAAAAACTAATAAATAGCCTTGTTTCAGATTAAAAGTTATGATTAATTGTGGTTCTGACGATTAGTTTAGTTAATAAAACAAAAATGTTTGTTAAACATTCATAGAATTAATTCCTTTCATTTAAATTTTTTTCTATTATTTTTTTTTAAAATTATATTTAATAGCTGGCAAAAAACTGCAGAAGAATTAAAAACTTTACAATCATTAAAAGAGCAAATAACCAAAAAACAAAAGTCAGTAGCAACAATTAAACTTCAAAATATTTTTGGAAAAGATGAGACAAAACAACCATTATTAGAAAATAAAATATTTAGATTAGTTAATGATGGAATTAAATTAAGTCTAAATTTAGCAGAAAATAAAAATATTAAAAATCAAAAAGAGGAAGTAACAACAATTAAATTTGTAGATTTACTTTCACCAAGGTTTTTGAGCTTGACGGAGAGTAAAAATAATAATAAGGTAGGTAGGTGGTAATATTCTAGTTATGAAAATAAGTTGAAATAGTAGACTCAAAGACAAAGAATTTTCCAAGACTCAAGACTGCACCCTAAGACCAAAATCTGAATCCAAGACTTCATAAATACTGAATTCAAGACAAGGAGTCTTGGACGGAGACATCGTGTTATTAGAGGAATGAGGGGATATGACTTGATTTAAACGGATTAAGGTGGATGGATTAGAGGGGATAGCTACTTATAAACCTCTTACATTACTCTTATAACTGTCACCACTTTACAGACTAATTTATTAAATTAACACAAGTAGGGTCAACCCTTAAGTTTATAACTAAAAAAACTAAAAAATTTTAAGCTTTCCAATTTATTATCTCCTTCTTTGTTCAGTCTTCATGATAAAGGCAAAGGATTGGAAAAAGAATTAAGCTTACCTAAAATAATGAAAGCAGGCAAATTAACGGGAAGAGACCAACAAGAATGGCTAAATTTAATTATGGAATCTTCTGGTGTTAATGAACAAGTTGAAAATTTAAAAGTTTGGGAATTTTAAATTTTAAAAATTTATTTTAAAAATTAAATTTCAAAAAAGTTGATTTTATAGATGATTGAAGCAAAATATTTAGAATTAATTAATAATTAAATTAATTCTGGTTGTCGGTTTTTAGAAAATTTTCGGATATCCGGAACCGAACCGATATACGAACCGAAAAAATCATCGGTTCTTCAGTCCAGAACCGACAACCCTATAATTAATCACAAAAATATATTCTTAAAATATTTAACAGAACATTCTTTCATTTAATCCAAAACCTACAAAATCCTTTAATAAACGAGAAATTGAACAACGTTATAAAGATGAATTTAACGGACTTTATTTGACTAGAAAAAATGTAAATTATAAATATTTTTGTGAACAAATTTTATTAAAATTAGTTAAGGTTAAAGAAATGTTTGGAGAATATGAAGATCGAAAAGTTTCCATTTGGGAGGAATTGGATAGAAAATTTAATAAGAAACAGGTAAATAAATTGATTTAGAGAAGTAGGACAAGAATAAAATTTTAGAAAAATCCTATTTTAGGTCAAGATTTAGGATTAATTCTAGGCTTTTTAATACCCTACTTATGAACCCAGTCCTTGATTTTTTAAATAAAAATTAAAATTAATTTCAGAGAGATGAATTAGAAGAGACGGGATATTCGCTTCTTACTGAAAGCCAGCTAAGATTTTTATACGGGCCTGAATCTCCATTTAATGACTCTATAACACTTGAAAGATTATTACCAATAATTAATAAAAATAATAAAAATTCTTCAATAATAAATCAGGTAATAATTTAAATAAATATTTTTAAATTATATCCTTAGATTATTGAGGATGATATCAAAAAAATTGCTCAAATGCGTTCATTTGATATTAGACAACATGATATTGTGGTAAGTTCTGAAATAATTAGGGATTCCTTTAGCAAGAGATTGACATTGGGCAGTATTTTTGATATTTCATCTCATTAAGCAAATATATCTTAATAGAAATGTATTTAGAAATCCGATCTACTGTTGTGATGTATTGTGTCGTACTCCCAAGTTTACGTGTACTGTTTATTTTCGGCTGACAATAATTTCTTTAATTAATAAGACAGGGCAAATATAAAATTGGGTTTTCCTTAAAAATTGCCCCCTCCCTTTCTATTAATAATTTTTTAAATTTCAATTTGACTTTAAATTCCAATAAAAAATTCTTCATAATTTTTATAAAAATTTTTTTTAAAGTTATCTCCTAGCGTCTTCAGGCCATCAATATTAAATCCAACGTATAATAATTCCTTTATTTTTAATTTAAAAAATTAATTTCAATTAGGCGTACAAGTCAACCTTTTATTCTCTCTCCTTTCCTCTTTTCCCCAACAATTTTATCTCCAACAATTATGGGACCAGCAATTTTATCACCTAGAGTATTTTCTCCAACTGTTTGTTTTTTTATAAATTTATTTAAAAAAATATTTTTCAAATTTAAAGATTTTAACACCAAGAATTATGACTCCCTTAATTCTATCACCATTTATATTTTCGAGTATTATACTCTCTCCAATAATTATGCAGCCATTTATTCTCTCTCCAGGATTGCTAAATAGTGTGGTAGAGTATTTTTATTTTTAATAAATAGTTAAATTAATTTTATTTTCTTTTAGATTTTAAGCCCCTTCGTAATGAATCCAATGATTATGAGCTCACAAATATTTCATCCATTTATTTTATCACCATTAGTTATGACTCCAGGAATTTTAAATCCTTCAGCTCTTTCCCCTCTTGTATTAAGCCCTTTTGTGTTAAACCCCCAAGTTTTTTCTCCAAAATTTTTTTCTGGATTAATTCTTTCTCCATATGCACTTTCACCTGTTCTTATGAGTCCAACTTATGCTTATGTTGTTATTCTTTCTCCCAGTTTTTTAAGTTAATTTTTAAAAATTGTTTTTGTATATTTACTGAAATTTAATAAAAATTAAATAAATAAATCTAAAATTATTAAATAAATACAGTACTTCAATTTTATTAAATGGTACTTCTCCGTTTTGTTACACCCCCTATATTTATGCTTAAAATGTCATATATAGGGTAATAAAAGGTGCCGAGTCGAACGTACCACTCTTCTTTTCTGGAGACGTCTGTGGATCAAAATACAGGTCCCCGAAGAACGAAATATCATAGAGGGGAGTAAGCTCATTTTGGGTTTATCTATTACCCTATATATGACATTTTGAGCATAAATATAGGGGGTGTAACAAAACGGAGAAGTACCATTAAAAATATTTGTCTTATTGTTTTAAAGAATTTTAAAAGAGATAAATGAAATTAAAAAAATAAATTGTTCAAACAAAAGAAAATAACATTCAGGAGAGACATCGCTTTTTTCTCTCCGATTTTCCCACTATATTTTCTGTCCCTTAACCCTACACGTACTTAGCAGTAAAAATTTAAATTTCTATTTTCTTTGTTTACAAAAGAAAAAATGATTGTTTCATTCAAAAAAAAGTTTGTTTGCTCAAGTAAGGAACGATAATGTAGAAAAACAAATGCATAAATAGTGTACATATGTAGCAGGTAAAAATATTCGTCGTCTCATAATTGGGACATTAAAAGATTTTTTAATTCAAATAATGTATTATATAAATTTCAACAATATTAATGGCTAATATAAAAATATTTTTTGAATTTACTGAATAAAATTATAAAATTATTTTATATTTATTTAACTCCTTAATTTAGCAAATAATTTTTAAAATTCAAAAATAATTTGAAAATTTTTTATTTTGTTTTTTTAGAATTATGAATTCTAAACAAAAATTAAAAACTTCAGAAATTGGAGAGAAATACCAAAAAAAGCAAATGCCTCTTGAATTACTTGTGGACATAATTAAGGCAGCAACATATCCAAATGCTATTTTAGATTTAAAGACATTAAAACAGCTAGAAACGTAAGCAAAATTTAAAATTTAATTTAACAAAAATTTAAAATAATTTTTTACTTCTTAAAAAATTAAAATACTTTATTAGCTTTTTCTCGTATCATAATATTTTTGAAAATAATTTTCTTAACTAATTGATATAACCCATATTGCTTAATTTAAAAGTTAAAAGAAATTGTTGATAGAGGACTGTTAAAAATGTCAGAAAAATTTTAATATCAATTTTATCCCGATTTTAGATTATTCTATAAAATCTAAAGTTTAAAAATAAAATTATTAATAATAATTATTTGAATAAAACACAAAAAGCTTGTATTTCGTCTTTAAAAGTTTGTATTTTATCCACAGAACCGCAGTAAATTTGCATAAATAGAAATTCTGTGGCTCTGTTGTAAAAAAAACTCCAGATTTTTTGATTTTTTGTCCGCAAAATCTGCGGATTGCTTCCCCAAAATATGCGGTTGTTTTTGCAGAATATGTGTTCTGTTCACTAGGGTTCAACTACCATCCCCGGGGACGGTGGTATTTTTTCCTAAATTGGTAGAAATCTGGCCTGTAGGTCCACCAAAAATCGGAAAATTTTCGCCTGCGGCGCTAAAATGTAAGACATCTGTTAGCGTGGGCGTGCAAAATTCTCAGATTTAGGATCTGACTCAAAAATTGAAAAAATCTGGCTTCTTGGCCTTTCAAAAAGTGTTGAAAATTTTTGTCTTGGCAGTTATAATAAATATTTCAACTGCTCTAAAATATATAATTGTATTTGGTTTTTGACGAAAGGAAAAATTGATCTAACTTCAATAATATAATTTAAAATTATATTATTGAAAACTAACCAAAAATATTATGAGGAAAATATTTCTTAAAAACATTTTTTAATTCAATTTTATTATTTGGTTGTTCAAATTTAATCAGTCTTATTATCATTGATTTCATCAAAAAGACTAAAAATTCAATTAAAAACATCTTTATTTCACCCAGTGTACTCGGATATAGCAATAATGTATGGCGACCCATGAATAAAATGCAACTATTTGGAAAATACTGGAAAAAGCATATTAAAAATTTGTTAATTACTTCGAGAATTATTTACTCAATTGTAAAAAAATATACAACAAAAGAAAAGCAAGTAAGTATTTCATTAATTGAAGAATATATAATGAGCGTTTTTTATGGCATAGATGCTTATTATCTGATCATGATGAGATATTCAAGAAAGTAACACCTATCATTTTATAAGAATTCCTATGATCAGACATCCTTACAAGACACATCTACCTATTTTATTATAAAATTTCTTAATAAATTGAGAAAAATTTCTTGAATTAGAAAAGTGTTTTTCTAATACTGATAAGATTTTAAGTTTACAAGATAAATTAATAAAATTGTTGAAATTTGTTAAAATCTTCCAAAAATTGATAAAAATTTCACAAATTAAAAAATAACGCCAAAATAGGTTTTATTATGCGAAATAAATCCCTGTAAGGATAAGATAATCAACAAATAACACGAAGTTGACTTCCCAACTATTTCAAAAAAAATATTTTGGATATACTGTAGCCGGTGGCCCACTCAGAAACGGGACAAATTATATACCATTCGATTCGTCTCGGCGAGCTGAGTCGAATGGTACCATTCTTTTTTTGCGGAAATTCTTACGAGCCGAGATATAGGTACTTAAAAATCGAAAAACCATAGGGGGGACCAAGCACCTTTTTGGAATGAAAAATTCGAATATGCAGATAATAGCTCATTCGAAAGAGCTCGTCGAGCTGAGTCGATTGACACCAAAATCAACGAAATCTGACTTGATTGGACCGAGATATAGACTTCTGAAAACTGTTAATCCAAAAGGGTGATTTTTTAAATTAAAAATTTTTTAACCATATTATAGCTCATTCGAAAGAGCTCGACGAGCTGAGTCGAATGACACCAAAATCATCGTGATTGGACAAGATTAGACAAAGTTATGAACCAAAAAACAAAAAACCTAAACCTATGGAGCGTCGGCGAGGCGCTTGTGCAAAACTCCGCGCTTCGCGCGGAGTTTTGCGGCACACGCCTCGCGGGGAGTCTACGGGCGCTGGGTCTGGGCTTGTAACATAACCCTATTCCTATCTCCCTTGCTCTGGACGTATTTGGGGCCTCCGTAGCAGCAAAAATCTCCACAGATGCCATAGGTAAGGAGCTAAAACAAATGGTCATAACTTTGTCAAATCAAGTCAGATTTCGTTGATTTTGGTGTCAATCGACTCAGCTCGACGAGCTCTTTCGAATGAGCTATTATTTGCATATTCGAATTTTTCACCCCAAAAAGTGCTTGGTCCCCCCTATGGTTTTTCGATTTTTAAGTACCTATATCTCGGCTCGTAGGAATTTCCGCAAAAAAAGAATGGTACCATTCGACTCAGCTCGCCGAGACGAATCGAATGGTATATATTTTGACCCATTTCTGAGTGGGCCACCGGCTAAAGTACAGCCAATATTTTAACTTAAAAATTCAGTTTCATTTTATTATTTTGGAAAAAACATAATTTTCTTTAATTTCAGAGATATTGCTTTATTGCCATAAAACCTGATACAAAAGGATTAAAATTTCTGCAAATGATTTTAGACGGAAAAATTGATCTAAAAAAATTGGTAAGATTATTACAAACTATGACCTATAAGTTATGATTATTTACATTTTATTGGAGAAAAAAGTTAAAATTTTTTGATCTAACCCTTTAATTGTTATACACTGCGGTGCATATGTTTATGCACACTTGTTTTTTGTTCATAAGTTTATGCACACTCATTCAAAAAATACGTTCTATATAGCAATCGAAAGCTCTATTTGTATCTCAGTTGACATGTTTCTGCATTTTCCATGAAAATGAAAATTGGCCGAGATAATCCGGATCTACCGGATATACCAAATCCCATATCCTCGGAAAAATTTTTCGGAAAAAATTTAACAAGCCCATTTGATAAAGCATATTTTTGTGAGTATTTATCACAAAACCGCTTAGAAATATCTTTTTTCGGTCCAGAGATATGATTTTTTGAAAATCGAAAAAACGCGATTTTTTGACGAAAAACGTCAAAAACATGGTGTTTTTTCGATTTTCAAAAATTCATAACTCGGTCAAATCTCGACCGATTTGGATGAATTTTTTGTATTGTATGTAGAATCTGGAGAAGAATCACATATATTTTTTACAGACTTCAAAAAAATTTTTCCGAAAAGTTGAAAATGTAGTACCTGTTAGACCGGTCGAAAATTTTTCGAAAATATCAGAATTTCGAAAAATGCAGAAACATGTCAATTGAGATACAAATAGAGCTTTCGATTGCTATTTAGAACTTATTTTTTGAATAAGTGTGCATAAACTTATGAACAAAAAACAAGTGTGCATAAACATATGCACCGCAGTGTATGTATGTAGTACATATTACAAGGGAATTAAATAGGTAAACTCTAACAGCTAAAAAGCTTCTTTCGGTATAGTTATTGATTTCTGAAATTTGATAAACTTTGACGAGCATACCTTCTTTAAATTTGAATTCTTTATCTGAACTTTAGGTCTAAATTATAATTATCATTCTTTCACTCTTTTACTAGCTTTTGGCATTTTTCCTTCATCAAGTATGCCTTTTATTCAGTATGCCGTTAACATTCCCATCATCAATAAAAAGGATTAATTTTTTATATAAATATAGGAAAAATGTAAGAAAGTTCACATTCTTTTAAAAAATAAAATAACCAATTTTTGTTGAGACTATAAAAAATGATTCTAAACGTATAGTATTTATCTAAAGTTAATTTAATAATCAATTATACGATGTATCTACCCTGACTTAATACACTCGGGTGCAAAAGTAATGATCCCTGGGTATGAAAATTTTTAAAAAGTGATTATTTTGAAATGGAAAGGGTAAATGATTTACCTTCTTTTTCATAATCAAAATTCACAATGTTAAGATACTTTCCAAGGAAAAAATTTTCCCCAAAATTCCAATCCCGTGAATTTCTCTCAACTCTAA